ACTGTCCCTCCCTCCCTCTTCAGTAATTACTATCCAATTTTGGGATCTTTCATCCCCATGCCTGGTTTTGTACTTGATTATAAATGTCCATATGTAAAAATATTATCTATATACACTACATTGAATACTATTGCTTCCTATGGTAAAAAAAAAAAAAAAAAAAAAAGGCATTTAGCCATACAGATTCTTTTGCAGTCAGTCGCAGTGCTGCCACTTACTTGTAGGAACCACATCGAGCCACACACAGATATGTTAAGATGCTGGTTGTATAAATCTTGACACATTCCAGGTGAGCGAGGATCAAGAACTAAAGAGAAGGCGAAGACTTTGATATTATGGAGGCAGAATCAACAGCTTTGTGGCTGATTTGATGTGGAATGACGGGTGATTTTTTAAAAATATACTTTATTGATTTTTTTACAGAGGAAGGGAGAGGGATAGAGAGTCAGAAACATGGATCAACTGCCTCTTGCACACCCCCCACTGGGGATGTGCCCGCAACCACGGTACATGCCCTTGACCAGAATCAAACCCGAGACCTTTTAGTCCGTAGGCCGACACTATCCACTGAGCCAAACCAGTTTCAGATGACAGGTGATTCTTGTATAGGTAGCTGACTGGGAGAGTAATGTCAGTTGGAGAACAGAAGCATGGTGGGGCAGTGATGCCACCCTGGAATACTGGGCTGTGATGGAGTCCCTTCCCACCTGTGGGGTTGGAAGTGTCTGCAGCACACTCAGGTTCAGGAGGCAGCTGGGTTTGGGGACCTGAAGCTCAGGCAGCCATTCTGAGCTAGAGATTCCTTTTAGGTTCCTTTATCCTCCAGTGAATGTGAACCTTGCAGGGGGGAAGAGGAGGGTTTGATCAGTGTAGGTGGCTCCCAAGTCACCTTTACCTGGAACCTATAACATGATTCATGCTTGCCAGTCTCTACAGAACAGGTGGCAACAGGAGATCTGGTGGGATCACCCAGAGGCCAATCAATTTCAAAGATTAGAGTTATGTTTGAAACATATTTTTCCTTCTGATAACCTATGTGACTTCCTTGATCATGAAATTACATGTTCTCATGTTAATAAGCTCATAAACTTCATTATCTCCTACATTGCTTCTTTATTTGCCTGAACTTGTTCCCTTGTTGCACTTCAAGGAGTCCTGGGTTGCTGGCTTACCTGGTATCCTAGCATTCCCTTCCCTCCCTTCCCAGGTATTTTTTATTGTTCTCTCTTATCCTAGAATCCTAGTCTCTAGTCTGTCTGCAGCAAGTGTTTCTCCCCAGGGCAGGAATCAGGGGACCACTCATGTGCTCCTTGTCACTCACTGCCGACCTGGTTCAGGGCCTTTGCTTCACCTTCACTAGTTAGCAGCTGGTTTTCACGTGGAAATGTCTCCCTTTGCTTGAAAGAAAGATGCCTGCCCCTGCCCGGGTCCCTGCCAAAAGCCCAGTAAAATGTCTGGCAGCCTCCTTCTGGATGATAGGAATTGACCCAGTAGTGTGAGGTTTGGGCAACTGCTGTCACTGTAAAGGCCCAGAAAGACCTGGGAAACTGAGGACAGGGAGCCACTGTGGATGGGACGGGACCCAGGAGCAGCTCTGCACCCTAGTTTTCTCTCTTCTGTCTCTGCTTTCTTTCCTCTCTCCTCTCTCTCCATCTCCCATCTTCCTCCTTTCTCTTTTCCTCTTCCTCTTCCTCCTCCTTCCTCCTCCTCCTCTGCCCAGCTCTCCCCTGCCTCTCTGCATCACTGTTGCTAGGTGATATCTAAGGCTCAGTCATTTTCTTTCTCCTTCTTCCCTCCGTTCTCTCAGCTCTTCCCCCCAAAACTGGCAGCTGGCCTATAACTGTATCTGAACTTACCATATTTTTCCGGCGTGTAAAACGACCGGGTGTATAAGACGACCCCCTAATTTTACAGTTAAAACATAGGTTTATGCCAATATTCTCTGTATAAGACTACTCCTCACTTCTGAGGCAACACCAGTTCTTTTTTTAATAGACCGCCTCTCTAACTCTGGCCAATGTGAGCAGGCTTTTTACTAGAACACAGTATAGCTTCAGGTACAGAACATGTATAATTTGCATGCATAAAAAACCTGCTCAGCAGCCAGGCCCGGAGCAGCAGCTGTCAGGCTGGGAGTGGCCAGGCCCAGAGCAGCTGGGCCCAGAGCAGCCAGGCCCGGAGCAACCAGGTCAAGAGCGGCAGTGGCCAGACCCTGAGCAGCTAGTTGTGGAATGGACCATAGCTACAGAGGCCAGGCCCGGAGCAGCCAGGCCCAGAACAGCTTGCTCCTAGCCTGCCCCCGCCCCAAGGCTGCCTCTCAGACATGGCTGGAAACTTTTGGGGGAACTTGAGGGTCTGCTGAATCAAGTGATGAAGGCTTAGATCTGGATGTGTTAAATCAGTATAACGCTGGGGTGTTGATCTGTGAGTGTCTTGTGTGGGGTCTGGATGAGGTTGGTTGATCTATTTGGAAGTGTCTTTTGTGTGAAGTGTATCCTTGGGCATGTGGAGGTATTGATTTGAGAAAATGCTAAGTAACTGATTTACTATTTGAAAAATTTAAAGTTCTGAAAGTTTAAGGTCTCTTGCCAAAAAGAGGTTTTAAAGCTAACACCTTAATTTTAATGGAGAAAGGGAATGACAAGCCCTTCCCACCCAGAACAGGTAATCCAATTCCAACCGGCAGCTATGTTTAAACAGTGTGTCCATTTACACTTGAATGGCTATACCTTTTGATAGCCTAAGGGCAAGTTTACATGTAAACAAGTTTGCTCTCAATTCCCAGGCAGAAAAAAAAACAAGGTTTAAAATTATTAGATTTTAAAATTTATTCTTAGAAGTGTAAAAGTTTATTAATTAAAAAAAAAAAAAACAACCAAAAATAAAGGAGATGGAAAAACCTGATGAACAATAATAGCTGTTCATTGTTGTAGAGTCGGTGATATGGGAGGGGAGTGGACTGACTGTTCTGGGGGGGTGGGGGGAGGAAGAGACTGAATATAAACTGTGCACCTATGGATGAGGACAATGGGGGGTGGGGAGGGGGTGGAGGGTGAGGTGGGAACCTGGTGGAGGGGGGAAGAAATGAGGAACCTTTGTAATAATATGAACAATAAAGATTGATTAAAAAACAAAAAACAAACAAACAAAAACCTTAGATTGGCCAGAGTCAGAGAAAAAAAAGAACTGGTGTTGCCTCGGAAGTGGGGGGGGGGGGGGGGGGGGTAGTCTTATACAGCGAATATAGGCCTAAACCTATGTTTTTTAACTGTAAAATTAGGGGGTCGTCTTATACGCCGGAAAATATGGTACCTCTGGCCTATAGTTGCCCCGACTCCAACACTGAATGACCTTCTTGCTCGAAAGCCCAGGGCCATCTGGCGGTAATCTCTCTGGGAACAGGATTCAGCTCCTGGGAGAGGGCTGCTGGCTTAGCTCCTCTTCCTGAGCTGGACACACTGTCCCGGCTGCTGACCAGCGAGGAATTGGTCCCCCGCGGGCCAGCTGCAGCCTGGGCCAGTCAGCAGTGGCAGGAGTGAGGGTGGGGATGGAGTTCCTGAGAAAAGGTTGGTGGGGGTACAACTAGCCCAAGAACTATGTCAGAGAACCCTTCAAATGAACTTATATTACACCAGGGTGATGACCCTAAATTTGGCTCAGGCTCTGGCTGGGAAGTCACTGTTTATAAACTGCAGTCACTTTTGCACTAATTCAAAGGTATACGTCTTTGAAGTAATGAATTTACCATCTCCTAGCCACAACAAACATGCATGAAATTAAGCTTTCAGTCAAAGTGTTTGTTGTATTCACAGGTTAGGGTGTGGCGATGGGCTTGGCTGACTCCGAACAGTCAGCCTGGAGAACGTGACCTGTGCTTTTCGGTCATGAAGTCTTTAATAGTGATTTGAAACATGTACCCCCAAAGTTGAGAGTCCTTTGTAATATTTGTCACCAGGATAGTGAATGGCAGAGGGCTCCTGATGTCACGAGGAGCTCCCCATCTCGTTGGAATGAGGACCCAGCCTCCGGGGCAGCGGAGAAGCCCTGTGTGTGCTGATTCACACACCTATATTCCCTGCTATCCTAAGTCACAAAACTGGCAATGACTGCATTTGCCTGGAGTGTCTAAGGACAGGCTCAGACACAGAAACCTTGTCCCACTCGCATAAAATTGGAAAGCATTACAGAGCGGAATCTTCCAAATTTAAAAAAAAAAAAAAAAAAAAAAAAAAAAAAAAGCAACCCACAAACCCAGCTTATGCAACTTACTCCCACAGAAATGTGTGGAGGAGGGAAGTGTGCTTGTTTCCGCTATGCAGGTGGTTTTGATTTGTTCTGACAATGTGCCTCAAAATTCAGTCCAGATAAGAGGTTTGGTTTTGTTGCTAATAAAAGTAAAACTACTCTCGGATGACTAGAGCTTACAGTCAGTCTATTTTTCACTTTTGCCTACCTGGACAGTCTTCTCTCTCCAGCTGCCAAGTCAATCACCATAGATTCTGGGAAACTCTCTCCTCATGATGCAAATTAGGTGGGATCCTGTTCTGACAACATGAGTTAATCATCACTAGAACTATTGGCAGGAGCTGGGGATTGTTTGTACTCCTCGGGGACAGCTTAGTGTCTCTGGATAAATAAATATTCAAATCCAACCTTGCCTTCCCCAATCTCCTCGCCCATGGCAGACCAGCTGGAAGCAAAGTGTTGGGTCCCCTGGTAATTTACCAAACAAGGATGATACTCCCAAACATTTGACCTTAGCTAGCATTGGTATTCAATAATACGCCGCTATATAATACATTTCTTTTTGCAAAATTGTACAATCTGTCGTATGACCATTTTTACCCTCAAAATCCAGTCAGATTACTTGTGAAAGAAATTTAAGAGTTGGGCTGTAACATTTCTGCAGAGTTCACATTAGGAACTCCCATGTCTGTGTCCCCAGCTTTGAGACAGGTGGCTATAAGGACACATGCATTCTTCTTGTGTCCCCTCTACAGAATAAGAAGATCTACCTGGACATTATTCACACATACATGGAAGTGCATGCCACCGTTTATGGCTCCAGCACAAAGAATATTCCCAGTTATGTGAAAAACCACGGTATCCTCAGTGGGCGGGACCTGCAGTTTCTTCTCCGAGAAACCAAGGTGAGTTTTTGGTAGTTTGGTAAGAATACATCAGTGACGTTTTCAGGTTTGTTTCAGCTGGTGTTAAAAATGGGATCATAATCTCTCTCATGCTTCTTTTTCAAAGCTACAGTAGTTGTTTGGGTTATTTTTGGGCAGTGAGAAGTCAGTGAATTGTGGAAGGAGGCTGCCACAGTGTAAAACTTACTCACTGAGGACCTGCTCTGGACCAGGCATCCCATGAGGGGCCAGGGTCGGGGGCAGAGTTTCAGATGGGGCAGAGGCTTTCACAGCAAGTCTGGATGCTTAACTGCCCCACCTCCCCATCACCACGGTTCACGGGATTGGTCTCCATCCAACTTTTCCGCGCATGTCCTCGCTTAGACTGCACACTGAAGGAGTTCAGACAAGGGAAATACCTTCAGGCTCAAGGAGTGGGGAAGTCCTGAGAGATATGAGATGAGAAATGAGGGGTGTGGATGCTCCTGGCCTGGGGACAGAGCAGTGAGAGCCAGGTGCTAGAGGTGGAGATAATACATTCAGGAGAGAGCCAGAATCCAACCCGGCTAGTCTAACTAGTGTTGGGAAGTAGTAGATGAACTCTGATAAGGGGCCAAGGGGCTGGCTGGTTGTCAGGGACACAGACAGCCTTCAGACCACGTGGTGCAGGGAGCAAGGAGCCCAGGATGGATGATGAATATGTTGTTTTGACAACAACGCAGGGAAGTCTGCCCAGTGTCCGTAACTCTGCCATGAAGTACCAAGTGAAATCAGGGGACTTATGAATAGACCAGAGTTTGGTTTCGAAGGAGTGGTAGTGTATTAGGTAAGCTCTCATGTTTATTGTTAAGCTTTCTTTTACGAATATTACAGATATAGACTGAGCAGTTCTGTGGGCCAGGCACTGTGCAAGGAATGCAAGGTGAGGGGAACAAGCAGACGGTTGCTCAGTGTTTCCTAAAAGAGAGCAGCTCATTCTCCTAGTGAATGTTTCGGCTCCGGCCCCTGACAGAACGTGTTCTCATCTCCAACGCAGGGGAGGGAGGCTGAGTGTATGAACTTCTGTGGCCTACTAGGGCTTTAGGCTCACTGTGGGATACTTTGATTTTGGAAAGCACTAGTATATTCACATGTGCTGTCCTGTTTAATCCTCACAACAGCCCCCAGGTAGGCAGGGCAGGTAGTATTGTTAACTTCAATCTCAACACGAGGAAGCAGACTGGAGAGCTGGGCTTGCCCACGGTGGCTGTAAAGGGTGGCTGTAAAGGGTGACTTTTTGTTGTAAATTAAAGCTCTGCTGGCCCTTGACACACCATCCTCACAAGTAAGCCCTCAAACATTTAATGGATACTCTCTAGCCAAGAACTGCCTCAGTTTCTCCTTATGTAAATGCATCTGAACATTTCTACCTCCAAGCCATTGTGGGATGCCATGACTAAACTAGCTTAGTAAGTTATTTGTGTCACTGGCTGAAGGTGTGGTTGTCTTAATGGGGACTTTCTTTCCTTACAAGGTCACCTGTAGTTCGCAGCCTGGCAGTTGGGAAGGTACTGTGTCCCCAGCTCACACTGTGTGCTTCCCATTCACCTTCTGTTCTGGGCGGTATCTTAGACTCATTAGAATATGTGTGTCCTTTGCCATTTGCCTCATTTTACCTTTCCCCGTGTAGATTGTGGGAAAAGCTCAGGCTCCTTTCAGATTGCCTTTGGCAGCACGGGTTTTCAGCAGTGTGACCTTGCTGTCTCATGCACTTCTATTAGCCCAGCCTCCTGACTATCTTACTCTGCCTTGCAGATTTCAAAGGAGCTCTTATTACCTATATCCATTTACCTGTCCGTAAATGAGAAATAAGCTGGGGCTGAGGTGCCCTCTGTCCAGAGAAGGAAAGGGCTGAGGCCTGGGAGTCCCAGGCCACCAGAGATTGCCTACCAACCAAGGGTTGCAGCTTCAATGTTGAGTGTGAGGGGTGTATATTTATCCTTGAAAAATTGTTCCTTCAGAAGATGTCACTGGCCCCATTTGGTACTGCCTGTTCAGCTATCTAGAATATATTAACGTATTTTAAGTAGAATTATGGCTAAAACAGTTGGCAAATATGATGGAAATGAGGCAGTGTACTGCCAAGACCCCCGCCCCCACCCCTTACTCCAGAACAGCAGCAGGCACTAAAATGAATGAATCGTAAGCTTTGAAATAATGACACTGAAGATCAGTTAGGCTTTGCATATATAACCCTCTCTGCCTCTTATTCCTTTCTGTGTGTCTCGGAGCAATTTAAAGGCAATTTATTACAACTCACATGGAGGCGAGACTGGAGATGCAGAGGAGCAAATGCATGCGGGATGAGTGGCTTTTAGGCTCCTTTATGGGAGAGGGGAGTGAGCCTGGTGCTCCTCGAGGTATAGAGACAGACCGAAATGATTGATGCTTAATCAGCTTCTGGCTCATTCTTTTTCTTTATGAGCCATCTTCGAATCTGCACCAAGCCCGGGAAACCGTCCGCTCAGCAGAATTTGGTCCTGGCCTGCCATTAGGGCCAGGTGTCATTAGCAGACGCCAGCTGCAGGGCGCCTACAAAGACAGGAGGAATTCAGTGGCATCAACATCAGGCTGAGAGAGCTAGGAAGTCCTGGACTTATAGGCATATTCATTTGGATGGAGTCATCATTTATCAAGGGAGCAGACAAGTCATGGAATCCTGCAGACCCCAGGAGTGCAGGTTAAGCCAGAAAATCTACACATTTTCACTTTGGTTTAAGTCCCCATCTCTTTTTATGTGATTTCTTCCTTTCCTTCCTAATGTTAATCTCTTCATGCCCACTTCCCCTGTTCTCCCCATGGAAGCTCCTTGTACAACAGGTATTTCTCATCCTACACTGGATGGAAGAGCATTTAGAGGGGGCCAGAACACATATCTCCCCCCCTTTTTTATTGTATTTTATTTTTATTGACATCATTACAGATGTCTTCCACCCCCAGTCCCCCTTTGCCCACCTCCACCCAGAACCTCCCTTCCCTCCCTCTGCCCCTAACCACACGGTTGTCGGTGTCTATGGGCTATGCATATATGTTCTTTGGCTAATCCCTTCGCCTTCTTTCATCCTATCTGCCCCACTCTCTCCCCTCTGATTTCTGTCAGTTTGTTCCATGTATACATTCCTCTGTTTCTATTTTGTTTGTCAGTTTATTTTGTTCATCAGATTCCACATGTAAGTGAGATCATATGGTATCTATCATTCTCTGTCTGGCTTATTTCACTTAGCATAATGTTCTCCAGGTCTATCCAAGCTCACATACCTCCCTTTCTACAGCAAAAGTTTGAGAACCAATTCTGGCTGTGGGAAACCAGGCAGAAGCCACTGCTACTCACACTGTTGCTGCACCTCCTCTTTCCAAACCTCTGCTCGTTCCCCTTTAACCTCTGTGAGTCACAGTTTCCATGTCCTCACCATGTCAGCTGGCAGTGTACCTGTGGGACTCACCTAGAAGCTTGGGCAGGGTTGGAAGATACTGTCCCTATCCCATCCCATCCTCCTTTCTGACACTCCCCTGGCCCCCAATCAGCCACGGCTCTTCCCTCGAGCTTGGAGTTCTCTGAGCTGGAACTCACCTTCATGTGCCTTTCTCAGAAACCCAGGGCTGAGACAGCCACTGCTGAGGAACCCAACACTGTGGCTCATGTGGCAGAGGGCTTTGCTTGTTCTATTTGCAGGTAGTTCTCATGCCTACAGTAGTGCCTGGCTTGTAGAAGGCCTTCAGATAATTGAAAATGAAGAAGTCAAGTTGAAATCTATTTGCCATCTGGGACCTTGTGGTCATGCCCTCTAGGAGTGACTTCTTGTTTTTCTCATTAATCACTCCCCTGGGACTCCAGGATCTCTCTAGCAAGGGGCACTTTCCTTCTGATGCCCTGACCTGCCCCTTCATGGCCCTGTGAGAGAGCCCATGAGCTTACTTACTAACGGAGAAGTCCACCCTCCAGTTCTGTCTCAGATACGGACACACTTGCCCGCAAGCAAGCAGTTTTCATCCTGGTGACCAGCACCTAAGTTACTCTGTGTCTATGGGTTATGCATATATGTTTCCATAGATGGAAAAAAGTTGCACACATATATTTCTCTTACTCTTCCCTCCCACATATGTGTGTAGAATGAAGAGTGTGTAGAGAAATGATTCAGTGATCTCTCTGACTTCCAGAACAAAAGCATGTCCCCACATGAGACATCCAGCATCTCCTCGCAGACACACCTGATTGCTGGAAAAAGCTAACCTATTAGTATGTATTTCTTTGCTCATTTATCTGCCAAATGAGTATTAAGAACTGGATATGTGCCAGGAATTACTTTAGGCAATTTTGAATTAGAGATTACTAAGGCAGTTTTGCCCACAACAAATATAAAGGTGTTGGGGGGAGACCAACATATAACTATAGTAAAAGGTGAAAAAGTACACAGGTAGGAGTAGAAATAATATAAAATAATGACATCACAATACACCCTCCTGTGGTGCTGTGAGCAGGGTCCGCCATTCAGTTTTGTAAAGTGTTGCCCTGTGACTGGTGAAGCTGATGAAACATGGGATGAGGCTGCTATGAAGGACAGAGTCCATCTCAGGCACTTCTCACACACTTAGCATATTCATCTCATCCCTCTGCCCAAGACCGCAGGGTTTTACTACAATAACCCATTTTTCTCTAACCCTTACCTTTGCTAAGCTCTTCTGGGACTCATCTCTTTGTCTCAAGAGTCCTCTGATCTGGGTACCACTGGAACCCATCCTAATGTGCTGGCGACAAGGCTGTTGAGTGCCTCGCTGTGGAGAGCTGAGGGGTCAGCCTGGTGTGGAATTCGGGTGAGGCGGGCTGGTCAGGCGCTGTTCCTCTGAGGAGTGACAGCTGAGCTGCCTTTTGCTGGGAAACCAGCATCTCAGTTTTAAATTAATCCAGATACTCTCTTACACCACCTTTTCCATCTACAATGCAGACTGATTCCATTCAGTTCTGGACTGGACCTTCCAGATGACTGAAGCGTAGGGAGTTTGAGTTATGATGTTTGTGTTTCATTTTGTTTCTGAAAGGCCACTAAGGTAACTGGGCAGACTTTGGGAGTTGAGTCAGTAATCTGGTCTCCAGGAAGTAGTCTTGGGTTTAGCAGCAACTTTGGGCCCTAAAACACGCTTGTCTTTGTCTCCTGGCCCCTCTGGCTCTGTGCAAGAGAATTTTCAGGGACTTGGGGAAGCCATGAGAGGGTGTAGCCAAACCCATATGGGTGAGAATTTGACTGCTATTGTCTCGGCATTTGGGTGCCAAAGGGAAGACAGGTGGCCAGAGAAGAGACCCCACAGGCTACTTGAAATTATCTCGATACCTAGCCATTGTATGAATTTCCCACAGTTACAGAACCCGGTATATGATGGAGTTAAGATGTGAACCCTGGTCTCCCGGGTTCCAGAGTCTGTGCTGCTAACCACTGCATTGTCCTGATCATTTTGTGCCAGTAATTAATTTAATGGATAAGCTTAGGATCATTCACTGCTTAGACTTCCTCCTGAGCCACCTACCAACTTGCCTCATTAAAACTAGTCAGAAAAGTGTATGTTCATGGTATGTTTCTTATTTTGTATTACCTTGGCTATTCCTCATCAAAAGTGACTAGAAACTGACCAAATCCGTGGGGTCTTTCTGGGAAACTACCTGGTCCACGATTAAGGGATTCTTTGTGAAGGACTCCCCTGAGGAGGTGGAAACAGTTCCATGTCTCCTTTCACACAGAGCAAGCATCTGAGTGGCTTCCCTGAAACTGTGGGTGCACAGGGGTGCCCTAGTCTTGTGCCATGAGTAAGACATATGGCGCGTCATCTGTTCCCTCTTGCTTAATATTATTTGGGAAATTTAACTTTAGAGCATGTAATCCCTCTGTTTGGAAATGCTCATTGATGGGGCCAGAGTTGCAGCCCTTCTGTCATCTGGAATATCCTCGTTAGATTCTGGGCTTCTTTTGGCCAGATGAGGGTACATGAAATACCCAGTTTCCTCCTGAACAGTGAAGCCTCTGCACTTGAGTGCATTCTTGTAGTGTATCTCTTGCCCCCGTGCTGAGGAGATCTGAAAGATCAAGAATGCACAGAATGCCAGGGACAGAGGGGGTCCAGGTGAAGGTAACACAGTGTGGTTAAGGTACCAGGGTGTGTGTGTGACAAAGTCGTACAGATTCAGTTTATAGAATACCCTTGTGATGATGAACAGTCTCTGCCCTACCCTGTCGTCATTCAGACCTGAAGTATGCTATTGGACCTCAATACATCTGTCCATCAGAATGTCACGGGAGACCAGTGCACAGAAAACAAGAAAAGTGTTGCTTATGGACAGAACAAAAAATTGTTTTGCATTTCCAAATAATGTGTTTCCTGCATTTCTAACTATTGCAATGAGGAAACATTGCCAAGAAACTGTGTATTTGCTTAAGCTTCATTCTAAAATGGTGCAGCTTTGGAGAGTTAGCCTGGAGTGTTTGCTTCGTGTGCACTGAGGTATTCCAGTGCCAGCAGGGCAGAAGGGATGGTGCAAATTGTTATTCAGATATAATTAAACCTGGGTCACATTCAAGCCCATTAAGCAAGAGCCTCAAAATCCTTTTAATTAATGGGTTCAGATTGGTTGGCCTGAAGGAGCTAATTAAATTTTTCCAGGATTTTCTATTTAGATAGACAAGTATTGTGCTTCCCATATTTTCTCCGAAGTTGTTTGCAGTTTGGAGTTGATGATGGGGCCAGCCATCTATGGTAGGACTGGTTCAGGAAATGCCGAGTTCTGGGCTAAGATTAAACCCACCTGCATGGAACTTTCATCTTCCAGCTCCTTTCTTCTTCAGCCTTGGAGCTGGAAGCTCTCAGCCAGGTAGAGATCATCTTTCCCCTGGACAGCTGGTATCTCCTCCCCGAATCACATGGAGAGGGCAGGCCACAGAGATCAAAGCCTAACGCATGGTAACCCTGGGTTCTTCATATTCAACAGAGTTGAGGTGTCTTAGGCCTAAAACTTCTCAATCTTCTCCCATTTCTCCTGCTGCTATTAGGCATGCACATACTCCAGCCACACCCTGTACACAGAAATCCTCTCCGATAAATCTCACTCCGCTAGCGACAGAATGAGAATAAGATCCAGAAAAGGGGCTTCCTGTGGCGGAGGAGCACCTGATATCCTGCAGCTCCAGGCGCCTGCTCCCATGTTCCCCCACCCCCAGTGGTTCTGCCTGAGAGATAGGACCCAGCCAGCAGGGGAGCTCCACTGGCTTCTCAAACCTCCTTTCTCTTTCACACTCCCCACCCCCATGCCTTCATGGATGTTTCTGACAGTATAGCCACTCCTCTCAAGGTTTGAAGGAAATGAGAGGTTATTCCTTCAAACAATGAAATGATTAAGTTCCCTGTTTTGTGCAAAAGAACATAATAGTTATAGGATGGGGGGATCTTTCCTGAGAAGCAGAGATTTTAGTTTCTTGCCACGGAAAAATCCCTGTGGTGCTTACATGACTCTCCAGTTTGGGGAGCCTGGGCCATGCTCAGTGTTCAGCCCTGGAGTCACCTACCACTACATTCTGTGTCTTCCGGCATTGCCCAGGGAACCCAGCAGCCTGAACTCAGGGCTCTCTAGGCAGAACCGCTCTAAATAACTGTTCAGTGAAAGCAGCTGCCATGGAAGGATGGCTGGGAAAGGAGAATCCAACCCTGTCAGCTCTGCAGCATCCTCCCTTCCCTCTCTGTCCTGGCAACATACATGTCCTCAGTGTGATGGCAGGAGACGATGCCCTGGGGTCCCATTGTCCTTTGTTCCTTGCTGTCCTCTGGAGACAGTGACTACAGAACTGGTTCCTGGTGTGGGTAGGGAGAGCACACAGGTCACCAAGCCCAGACTTGGACCTGCCTGGCAGTCACTGCAGCTCTGCGCCCTGGGAAATACCCCACTGCCATGAAGCGCAGGGAGGCATTTCTGTGAGATGTTTCATTTCTGCATCCAGGAGTCAGCATCCAGACTTGCAAGTCCCTTTTGTCACCCTCTCTCAGCTGAGGATGCTGAATGGACACAGAAGGTGTGTTTTTGCTGCCATCTATGGTCTGCTGTGGGAAGCATGCAGTTCGCTTGCTGGATACGGAAGCAGCCTTGTCCAGTTAACAGCTTGGCACCCTCTCCACATGAGAAAATAAAAACCAAGATGTTGGTGTCCCGATGTGAAAACCCCATTATGAAAACCTGTGTTTACTGACTTGTCATCATTTTAAAGCAGCTCCATTTGAACTGTAATCAAACTAGCAAGTGACCTTGCTGTCCCCCTGCCCAGTGGCCCTGAAAGGGCCTGTTGTTCCTTTAGCTCAGTGAAGAAACCTTCTGTTTAGTTAAGCAAGTAAGTGTTTTTCCAATCATGCCTGCTGGTGAGTTACAGAGCAATTATTGTTGGGTCTTGTTTTTGTTTGTTTTTATTTTAATGCCTCCATTTTCCTACCCCCTCAACTGCCTGTCCCAATGCTTCTTTACTTTTTTAGCAAAGGAAACTATGAGGACCCACACAGCTCAGGAGCCCGGAATGTACCTGGTACTTCTGTCAACTGACCTCCCTTCGCCCCGTCTCCCAAGGCCTGGGAGTCTTCCAGACTTTGTGGGGCCTCCTCACAAGACTAGAGCACAGAATAATCCTTCTGGGGCAGGGACACCAGTTCTGACTGCTGTGTTTACATGTGGTGTGCTTTTGTGTCTTATAGTTGTTTGTGGGCCTTGGGTTCCCCTATGAGGGCCCAGCTCCTCTGGAGGCCATCGCAAATGGATGTGCTTTTCTGAATCCCAAGTTCAACCCACCCAAAAGCAGCAAAAACACAGACTTTTTCATTGGCAAGCCAACTTTGAGAGAGGTAAGCATCTCTTAAAATCTTTCTACTGTTAATAACATGGTAATAGCAATGCGTTGAGTACTAAGCCCATGAAAGCTCGCAGCCTTGGATGGTATGTACTACCAACTTCATGGAACATAGGTGGGTGGAAGGAGGGAGTCGAGGGGCTCAGAGATGAAGCACATGATGGCATCCCATAGCTAGGTGGTGGCGCAGCCAGGATTTGAATTCATTTCTGCCCTCCATAAAGTGGATTTTTTCTCATTCCTCCCCAACTCTATCTTAATGCAGATACCTCCAGCTGAATGAGCTGAACTCTGATTTTCTGAGTGGTTTATTATGAAATAAGGAAGTCAGATGGTTAGCAGGTATTTATTTTTGACGGACCTACTCTCTATAGTGAGCTGTGAGGAATAAAAAGTGGGCTGCAGATCCTTGAAAAACCTTCAGCCTTGAGAAATAGGATGCATCTGGATGACCAAAGTGATGTATCTGGTGTGTTAACCCACCATCAGCAGGTGCCACCCTGAGAAGCAGTCCAGCCATTGCCCCAGCTGTTTGCACAAGCTTTATTCACAGGTGGGGAAAGACTGATAAGGCCTGCAAAATCATTTGGTCTGACTGCCACGGCATTAGAAGTGAGTTAATTAAATGTTTAACCAAATATAGCAGGCTAATTTTTAAGTTGGTAATTCTGTATGGCCTGAGAATGATGCTATAAAAATCCAAATGGCCGTTGGCAGAGAAAAGGTTCCCCATCCTTGCTTTATTGTAAGTGCCTCAGAGATCCTCTTGAAAATCCACAGTGGGAGATGAATCACCATTGGAGGCAGTCAGGTTTTATTTGAGGCAATAAACAGAAGTCTTATAGACTATGTGAGTGACTAAGCTGGGTGTTGATGCAACTGGTTCTAAACAGGTGTGTGCAAGAAACCATGGGATTGATTTTCTATTATTCTGATGTAATCCGTAAGTGGCCATGTGGACTGCTGGCGAGGAGGAAGCCTGAGTATTGGTGTCACTGCTGTGTCCTTGTCCTTTAGGGCCTTCTCCTAGGATAATCTGCTGGGCAGCGCTCCCCTGACATAGCAGCAAATCACAGCACTGCTAAAGCATTCAGTGTGCGATGCTGCCACTTCTGAACATTTCTGGGTCGATTCTTCCGACCCCCAATACTACTTAAAATGCATTTTTCATGATTATTCTGTAATGATCAGCGATCCTACCAGTTCACGGAGTTGATTACTTTGATAATTCTTTCTTCTGACCCACGAAATCATTGCTGAAATGCCAAAGGAGATGAAGGAAGAGCAACAAGATCTGAAGATTATCCTAAAAAAGATGAACCTGTGGCCCAGATAACCTAGGACAAGGCCTCGGTGTGTGTGTGTGTGTGTGTGTGTGTGTGTGTGTGTGTGTGTGCTTGCTTTCTTTTTCCTTCTGCTAGTTCAGTACATTTGAGTCATTCGTTCTGGGGATTGGTTTCTTTTTGGAAGGTCATTCCTCAGCAGCACTCACGCACACCTGTGAGCCAGGTGCTGTGGGAATGCAGTCTTTGGAAAGGGTTGAAAAGATGCTCCCAAAGGTGAGAACATCTGGATTTAAGAGTCTCTGCTTTGGCATGTCACTTCTTCAAAACTTTGGCATTTGGGGTAGAAAATAAGAGCTAATAAATGACCCCTATTTTTTAATTTAGAAGAAGGAAATATCAGAAGTTATATTTCTGCCCATGTATATAATTATTTGTTAAGTTTTAAAAATATTTTTGTGATAAAATATACATTTTAAAACTGACTATTTTAAGATTTTGAAGTGTACAATTCCCTGGCGTTAAGTACATTCACAGTATTGTCCAACCATCACTACTTATTATTTCCAGAACTTACCGTCCCAAACAGGACCTCTGTTCCAATTAAGCAGTAGCTTCCTATTCTCTCCTCTGCACAGCCTCAAGTAAACTCTATTCCCTCTGTCTCTATAAACTGACATATTCTAGATACCGAATGTAAGAAGAATTATACAGTATTTGTCCTTCTGTGACTGGTACATGTCACTTAGCATAATGTTTTCAAGGTTTATTCATGTTGAAGCATGTGTCAGAATCACTTTTTTGTTGTTGTTCTTAATCCTTACCTGAGGATATTTTTTTCCCATTGATTTTTAGAGAAAATGGAAAGAAAGGGGAGAGACAGAGAGAGAAACATTAATTGGTTGCCTCCTGCACTCGCTGTAATTGGGGTCAGAGTTCAAGCCTACAACTGAGGTACTTGCCTTGACCAGAATTGAACCCACAGTCCTTCAGTTCATGGGCCGACACTCTGACCACTGAGCCAAACCGGCTGGAGTGGAATCATTTCCTTTTAAGACTGACTAATATTCTATTGTAAGGTAATACCACACTTTATTTTCCCATTCTTGGATTTTTTACTTTTTGTCTGTTGTGAACAACACTGCTCTGAACACTGCAAATACAAGTATTTGCTGGAGTCCTTGTTTTTACTTCTTTGGGGTTCATACCCCAATTGCTGGAATTTACCTTTTTCTTATTTTGAAGTAATTTTAGTTTTAATGAAAAGTTACAAAAATTGCAGAGTTTGGGTTATATCCTTCATTTAGTTTCCTCTAATGGTAACACATTACAAAACCATTGTACAATTATCAAAACTAAGAAATTAACCTTGGGACCATAGCATTATCTAAACCACAAACTTTATATGGATTTCACCAGATTTTCCAGTAATATTCTTTCTATGTTCCAGGATCCAATCCAGGATCTCACATTACATTTAACTGTCATGTCTCCTTAGCTCCCCCTATCTGTGATAGTGCTTCAGTCTTTCATTGCCATCTAGACCTTGACATTTTGGAGGATTATAAGTCAGGTTTTTGTAATTATCCCTCACTTTGGATTTGGCTGATGTATTGTCATGATTAGTATAAGGGTTACACATATTTGCAATAATATCACAGAAGTGATTATGCCTTTTCTAGTATATCAGATCAGGGGTGCATCTTATCACAGTGATGCTAACCTTGATCACTTGGTTAAGGTAGTAACTATATCAAGTAGTAGTAACTATAAAGTTGCTGTTTGTCTTTAAATTGGGGAAATACTCTGAGACTGCAAGTATCTTGTTCTCCTACTTTCCTATATAATAAAAGGCTAATATGCAAATCAACTGAACAGCAGAACAATTAGTCGCTATGATGTGTACTGACCACCAGAGGGCAGATACTCAGTGCAGGAGCTGCCCCCTGATGGTCTGTGCACACCTACAGGGGGTTCACCACAGCGGTGGCAGGAACCTCTCCCTCCTCTGCGGCAGTGCTAAGGATGTCCGACTGACGGCTTAGGCCTATCCCCTTGCGGTTCTAAGGCATCAGTTGGACATCCCCCAAAGGCTCCCGGACTGTGAGAGGGAGCAGGCTGAGCTGAGCTCCCCCCACCCCCCATGCACGAATTTCATGCACTGGGTCTTTAGTTTATTACAATTTCTCTAAATTTTTTATGATCCTCATCCTAGGATATGGTTTTTACTGACTTTAGAGAAAGGGAGAGAGAGAGAGAGAGAGAAAATATGAATTGAGAGGTTGCCTCCCATATATACCCTAACCAGAGATTAAACCCGGTATGTGCTCTGACCAGGAACCAAACCCACAACCTTTTGATGTACTGGACGATGCTCTAACCAACTGAGCCACCCAGCCAGGGCTTGACCATTTATTTTTACTACCTATCAACTGTAGCAACTACTTTGCTTGTAGCAACTATTACTGTAGTGCTCTAATGGTGATTTTCTTTTCCTTCATCATGATTTCTTTTTCATGGGTCAAAAGCAAAGAAACCCATTTCTTTTCTTATCGCAGTTTTTATAGAAAAGGCTTTGAGAAATGATTGATCTTAGACTGTGTTGACAACTGGCACCTTTTTATTAGTGATAATTCTAAAGATTTTGATGCTACTTTGTTACAAATGAGTACTTTCCCCTGAAAAAAACAAACAAACAAAAACAAATGTAGGACAATTAAATACAGTCTATTTTCCCCAGTGAATTATGTAAGAGTCCAGAAACCAGATTAGCAGTATGAAGTTATTGAGAAAAGTATGTTCATTATTTTCTGTCAGGTGTCACCATTTTGTAATTTGCTTTTTGTTGAGATCATGGAGGGTTTCATTCTTCATTACTTAAAAGGAAACAGGCCTTGGAGCTGTACCTAGATATTTGGTTCCCTTTGGCCTTTCAGAGATGAGACTGGTTATAATGGCTCTGTGGGACCTTTCAGTGGTCACTCAGCAGGTGACTCTCACACTGGTGACTCCATTGGTCCTGGCTCTTAGGGAGGCCCGTCTGCAGAAGGTCAGTGCATGGTGCCCTACAGGTACCAGTCACTGCATTTGGGGGAACTTATTAAGACATATTTCCTGTTTTCTAGGAGCTCAGAATTTGATATGGAAGAGTGATAAGACAGATGCATAATCAACGGAAATGTATAAAAGTATAGTTAAGTCAGTGAAGGCGGGAAGCTACCTTGGAGCTGTGCCAGGTGGAGGGTTAACTGAGGAGGGTAGGGGGAGCTGTGCTTTAAAGGGGAAGAAGGAGAGTGGGGGATCAAGCCTCAGGGGCATGAATGCTGACACGTTGGAAGGAAACCCAAGGTCACTTTATTTTATGCAGAAGGGCAGTTTCCATCTGCCACCTCGCTCCTCCTGCTGGAGACTCTCAGCCCAGAGAGCAGACTGGAGCCAGCACTGTCACATGGTCTTGAGAGGAACCAGTGTGAACTTGACCTCATGGCGCAGCAGGCCACCTCACTCTGTCCCTTTCGCTCACAAAAGCCACAGAATTTCCCTAATCGAAGATGCTTTTAATTGGGAAACAGGTTATCAATAATTCTACAGATTTCTAAGGAGAAAAAAAATCCCTAGAAATTACCAAACCCCCACCCCCATAGAAAATTTTTAATTGAGGTGTGTATAACTGCATAGCTATTTTTTGTGCCCATGCTAGTTTCAAGTTAAGCAACAATTGATCCACATAAATTACATATTTATTGCATCTTTGCCTTCATTCGAAGAAAATAAAATATCTAGATTCTTCTGTTTTTAGAAAACAAAAAAGTTTTGTCTTTATTTTTTGCATTGGACCAATTTTTAAAACCATATGTGCATTGAGGAGAAAAAGTTCCAAAATGTTGGAAATAATGTGGTCCGTTCAAGGTATACTTTAAATGTAGTATAAATTGGATTTTTATCTTTATATTGGGAAACATATTAATAGGTTCTCGATCATTTTTATGACATTTTGTAAACCATTAGGATTCTCTAGCTTCAGGGTGTGTTATTTTTCTTTATTTTTTGTGATTTTTTTCCCCCCCTCATAAAGGGAACTCATGTCCTCCTTGGAGATTTAATAGCTGCTCTGAAGTAATGTCTCGCATTTAATAACATTTTCATTACTTTTACAAACTGTACTCCAGTAAATTTACTGATTGATATACAAGGAAATAACTCAGATCAGACTGATTCTCAATAAATTCACAAGAAGGAACATAACATTCATAGAGGGAATAATGAATCACAAAATGCCTTACTCCTAAAATTAGGTAACCCTCAATAAATGTAAATGCATAAGATTATAATGGCTCTGCATTTTGTATTTTACAAGTACTTAGCACAGCCTTGTAAATAAGTGGGGTCTGCAAAGAGCAGGGAGAGAATGCCGAAGGGTGAGTGGCTAACTGGTGGCCCATGTGGCAGCCTTACCTCCCCTGCTTCCAGTGTAAGGATCCGTTATGTAGTTGTTCTGGGCCACAAAATGAATATGGTGTGATATTATGCTCACTGTCAGAAAAGGTCTAATACAGATATAAATTCAGTCTGGGATTTTTTTTTTTTTAGGTTGGCAAGTTTTAAGAGAGTAATTGAAAGACTGGATTTTGTTTGGTCTTTGTCTTAATAGCATCTTTTAATATTATCACTTTCCTTCCTGTGGAAAGCCAGTAAGTTGTTGAAAGGTCTAAATTTGAATCTGCTCAACCACTTTGTAGCTGCAGTTGTATCCGCCTCTAGACCTCAGAATCCTCCTGGATACACGGGAAACCTGAGAACTGATCCATGTCAAGCAATGAGCACGGTGCCTGGCCCAGCCAGGCTTCATCCACATGTACTAAACTACAGTATGTGCTGAAAGAGGCAAATGGTATTTCCATAGCTCCACGCCTGTGGCATTCTGTGGGTTCTACTCCTCACCAAGAATCTGAGCAGAAGAGGGGGGTTGTGTTGTGGGGAGGGGAACTGAGCAAGCTAGCAAGGGGCTCAGCTCCGCAGAGGAGGTGAGTGAAGTCCAGAGCACCTGCACCGAGGGCACCAGGGAGGGCCTGGGGCTGAGACTCTGACTGGCCACCCTGAGTAGCTCATGCACACCATCTGTGTGGCAGGATACAGATAATGGTGAGAGGCACAGGTTTAATCCTGTCCTCTGAGCATATGGGAGTCAGAACCAAAGAAGAGAGCCAACATGGCCTCTAAGCAAGGGGCCAGTCACAATTCAATGCAAAAAAAGACTTTCTGCCGAGACTGGTTTGGCTCAATGGAGAGAGCGACGGCTTGGGGACTGAAGGGTCCCGGGTTGGATTCCGGTCAAGGGCATGTACCTTGGTTGCGGGCATATCCCCAGTGGGGGATGTGCAAGAGGCAGCTGATTGATGACCCTCTCTCATCGATGTTTCTAACTCTCTATCTCTCTCCCTTACTCTCTGTACAAAATCAATAAAATATATTAAAAAAAAAAAAAAAAGACTTTCTTTCATGCCACTGAAGCAACATTTTACTGATGGCTTTTCGGGTTTCCATTTGTCTTTCGTTCTATTGCTGTGGCACCCATTTTCCTTTTTTTTTTTTTTTTTTTTTTTTTTTTTTTTAATCTTTCCCATTGCTTGTAAATGATCGGAAATTGTTTGCTGAGCAATGTTTAATCTTTCTGCAAGTTGTTTTTGAGTTTGACACGCATCTTCATCCAATAATGCTCGTAGTTGTTGGTCTTCAAACTTTTTTAGTTGAGCTGGACATTCTTTGTCTTTCACATAGAAATCATCACGTTTAAAGCATTTAAACCATCATTCATAAGTATCTTGAGATGGACCATATTCACTATAAGCTTCCCGAAGTATATGATAACTTTTTCTTCAAAATAATGAATGAAAACTTCCCGCAACTGCTCTTTTTCTTTGCACCAAACTCGACATTTTTAAGTGTAAAAATATCTATGATGTTAACACCTTCAGAAAATTTGACATATGAAGTTTTGAAGCTTGCTGTCAATACAACAAAATAGCATACATAGTAAATCGCATATATCTCAACATATGTGTAACTCCATCTATTGAAAAACCCCCACATTATTAACTGGTACACCTAGTACATTACAGCTGTGCCAGAGGGACTCTTTATTTGAATCCACAGGAAAAGCCTGCAGGGCAAGTGAGCGCTGTGCAGGGAGTGACCTCTGTCTTGCTCACCGCATCCTGGTCTCACCTTAAGGGTGGCACCCCCAGGCTTCGTGAGAACTGAAAATGCTCCCACAAATGCCCAGAATTCCCCCTTCACACCATAACCTTAAATGGAAACAGTAAAGCAGAAAACTCATTAGAGGGATAAGTTTAGCTGTCTGGAAGAATGGACTCTTTAAGATCTGAGAATGACCAGCACTCATACTGGGTTTCTCTGGCCACCCTTTCTTCTCAAAACAAAGCCCTCTTTGCAGTAAACACTGGCCTTGACTTGCCTTTCTGAATCCACATTGTCTTCATAAAAATAGTCTTTATTGATATGCTAATGATTACTCCTGAAACCATCTCAAATCCCCTGATTTTCTGGTAGCATTAGTTCTGTCACCTTCACTCATCTCCTGTGACTTTAAAGCCTTGTTGTAATTTTTCTGTGCTTACCTGTCTATCCTAACCAGTGTCTTAACTCAGACAGGTTTGATCTGGGTGATTTTGGGGCTGCAATATGATGAAGGGTATTAAACCTTCATTCTTTCTTGGTGCAATATTGGGGGTTGAAGTCACTATGACATCCTCCATGCCTCCAGCTTATGACATGCCAGCTCTTCATTCCAAGTGGGATTCGAGATGCAGAGCCATCACTGGGTCTGCCACTCAGATCTCACCGCCTCTGGTAAGGCCATGGCCAACATGCCACCCATCCCAGGGCCTCCAGCAGCCCCTCCAAAGTCCTGGGGTTCCATCTCAGAGGGTCCCAGGGCATCTGTCTTTTAAAGCATTCACATGAACCTGTTAGGCAGCCAGCAGGCGCTCGCTCAGTTGCCTTATCTGTACCTGTTAATGCCTTGCCTACACATCCAGATGGTTTTGGGTGGGCCCGAGAAATATCCCACTAGCTCAGTGGTTTATTGTTTCCTACTGATAGTTTATTAGGAGGTTCTGATGGCCAAGGAAGGGCAGAACAAGTATCTTGTTACTTGTGCAAGTGCAATTTGGTACCATAAAAAACCTAACACCTCACCTAGCACAGAAGGTTTTTTTAAAGTGTGTGAGACTGAGGTTTTGTCTTTTCTTTTGTAGCTGACATCTCAGCATCCATATGCTGAAGTTTTCATCGGCCGGCCACACGTCTGGACTGTTGACCTTGACAATCAGAAGGAAGTGGAGGATGCAGTGAAAGCAATTCTAAGTCAGAAGGTTGTTTCTTTTATTTCATTCCTCCTCTGCTCTCCCACATTTGTAATGTGAATTGAAAATAGGCACTTTGAGTAATGAGAACATTTCCGTATCAGCTTAACTCTGGAATCAGAAAATAGCCAAGCCGTAGGACGTGGCCTGGGGACTTCATGGGTGTTCTGTGAAGTGGAAACAGAGCTGGTGTCCACATATGTGTGGTTCTACAAATCCTGTGACAAGACTTCTGGTCCCAGACACAGAAATAGGAGCTTGAATTATAGCACTTGCTTAGTGACCTAATTATGAAGCTCTCACAAAGACCCGAAAAAATAGACTTGCTCTTCTACAAAAACAGTGAGGATAAGGAAATACTGGCACATGTTTTTGATATAGCATCTATTAGTTTGGCTTTTCTACCTAAACATTTTCTAGAATTTTATAAAAGTAACTAACATTTCTGGACTCTCTTGGTCAATTCAGCAGACATTTATTAGGTCCCTACTGCACACTCAGGGCCCTGTGAGCCACTCTAGGGGATGCCCACTTCCATGAGTATGGTTGAGGCTGGCTGCCTGCCGGTAGGAAGCTTCCACCACATAGGAAATGGTTAAGTTAGCTTCTCTCAGGACTATCTTGGACTCTGTCAGATGTACCCTTCCCCTGCACTCATCCTTTCAGAGCACTTTTTCCTGTTGTAATTTTTAAAGAGACGCTTTATGGGCATGGTTAAGAAAGACTGTAATCAGATAGCTGAGATTTGGGTCCCAGCTCTACCACATATAGCAGCATCCCCTCAGGCAGTTATTTAGCCTTCGAGTGTCAGTTTCTTTATCTTTGTTGTAGTTTGATATTATGTACTTTAAAGTACAGTTGTGAAGATTTAGTGAATATAAAGAGCTTAAGTGCAGTCTGCCACTTGGTATGTGGTTGGTTAATATTATTAACTCAGTATTAGTATCTATACTAATAAGAGAGAAATATGGTAATTGACAATCACTCTGCAATGCTCACAGCCAATCAGGTGGATATGCAAATTAGCAGGACAAAGATGGCAGTGGCCATGGAGCCAGCTGGAGCGGGAAAGAAGCTTGGGTCGCCCCCAGCAATGGAGGAAGCCAAGCTTCCCACCCACCTGGGCTGGCTGCCGAAGGAGTGGTCTGTGGGCAGCAGCCACAGAGCACTCCAGAGCGAGCGGGAGGCTTGGGTTGCCCAGCTGGCTGGCTAGGGTGGGGCCTAGAAATGGCCCTCAGCCTGAAAAATGGCCCTTAGCTCCTTACCCAGGCTGACCACGCCCCCATGGGGTGAGGGTCCCCACTGGGGGGCATGACCAGCGTGCAAACAGCCATCAGCCCCTCACCCAGGCTGGCCAGGCACCCCAGCGGGGACCCCCACCCTGAAGGGGGTGTGGTCAGCCTGAAAACAGTCCTCAGCCTCTTACCCAGGCTGGCCACATTCCCCAGTGAGGACCCTCATCCCATGGGGGTGTGGCTGGCCTACAAACCCTCCCCCCCCTCCCCAGTGAGGACCCTCACCCCAAAGGGAGCGTGCCTGGCCTGAAAACCACCCTCGCCCAGGCTGCCCTGCCCCGAAGGGAACCCCCACCCTGATCTAGGACACCCTTTAGTGTAAACCAGCCAGCTCCTACCTGTGCACCAGGCCTCTATCTATACTGATAAAAGAGTAATATGCGAATTAGACTGGGACATCTTCCAGGAGACCTTCTGAATGTCTTTCTGGACAAAGCCATGATGGCAGGGCTGAGGTAGAGGCAGTTAAGGGCCAAGAGGAGAGGGCAGTTGTGGTTGATCAGGCTAGTCGGGGAGCAGTTGGGGGCGAACAGGCCAGTGAGGGGAAGGCAGTTGGGGTGAGCAGGCCAGCAAGCAGAGTGGTTAGGGGCAATCAGGCAAGAAGGCAAGTGAGCAGTTAGAAGCCAGCAGTCCCGGATTGTGAGAGGGATGTCTGACTGCCAGTTTATAAGCCAGCAGTCGGACATCCCCCGAGGGTACAGGCTGGGCTGAGGGGAACCTCCCTCTCCATGTACAAAAAACATGCACCAGGCCACTAGTTACATATATAATAATATATTGTCCTTATCTTTGTCATTGATAGTCTGGATTTCCATTAGACTCTAAGAAACACAAAAGTAGTAAATATATCTGTCTCACTTTTATATTCTCAAAACCCAGCACAGTTATTTACCTGATGGATGGAGAGAGGGAGGAATAGATGTGTGCAGAATATGTTCTGTGCCCAAAACAGCATGTAAATGATTGAGGAGTGTAAGTATAGAGAGACTTCTGGTAAGTGCAGCACATTAAAAGCCTCAGCAGAAAGGTATGCCCATGGAGATGGAAGGGCTTCCTTCTTTCTTGAATCTCCAGGTAACTTAGTAAATTTGTTTTCTGGGATTGTCATAGAAAGAACCACAAACCCAGTGACTTAAACCACAGAAATTTATTTCCTCACGATTTTAGAGGCTAGATATTGGCACGTCCATGGTCCCTTCAGAGCCCCAGTAGAGGACCCTTCCTTGTGTCTTCCACCTTCTGGTGGCTCAGGTGTTCATTGACTTCAGCTGCTACACTTGAACCTCTATCTTAGTCATCACATGGCAGTCTCCCTGTGTGTGTGTGTGTGTGTGTGTGTGTGTGTGTGTGTGTGTGTCTTCTCTACTTCTTAAAAGGACATCAGTCATATGGATTAGGGCCCATAAAATCCAGGTTTGACCTCAACTTGATTACATCTACAAAGACCCTGTTTCCAAATAAGATCACATTCATGGGTACTGGGAGGTAGGACTTCATTATATATTTTCGGGAACTCCATACAACCCACATACTTACTTAAGTGCACATCTCCTTTAAGAGGAGTAATTTAAAAGATAATATAGAGGCAGGAAATCTTAGATCATGGAGTCCTTCTTTTGTCAAACAAAAGTCAAAGGGGAATGAATGTCTGCTACATAAGGCACTAGGCGTGGGTATTGAGTTCCATCTGCTCACTCCTACATGAGGCCAGTCCTGTTCACTCCATGAAACTTCAGTGTTCCATGTTATAGAACCCTGTTCAGCCTTTTTCACCTTCTTCCAATCTATGTAGGCCATTTAAAAGGAAAACAAGTAATTATAATAGTAGATGATACAGAGAGAACCTCTTTCTACACATGTAGAATCTTTCTGTATACCTTTATGAGCTTCATCCCATTCAATCCATCTTCAGTTGAGAAGATTAAGATTTAAGGAAATCTTAATTTCCTTAATATTAAGTAATTTACTCAAGATCACACAATTAGTAAGTAGTAAAACCTGGATAGACCCCTAGGTCTTTTAGATTAGTTTGTTAAGATTTAAAACAAAAATTTAATGAAGTACAATAAAGGGAAAAATAAGGTAGGAAAGAGAGATGAAATAAGGAATGAGATTAATGCCTAAACTAATATCTTTGAAACCCTTCCACTTGTTAGAAATGGATCAGAAATCTGGTGCCAGGCCTTCTCATCTATAAACTACAAGATTTAAAATTATATGACAATCAAAAAAGCAAGAAAACATGACCCATCATTAAAATAGGAAACATGAATAAAACCAGACCTAGAGATAGCCCAAGAGTTGGAATTATCATACACCCCTTTAAAATGCTAAGATTGGTACATTTAAAAGGCTTGATGAAAAAGGTGGACAACATATATGAAGAGATGGGGAATTTCAGGAGGGAGCTGGAAACTTTTTAAAAGCCAAATGAGAAAATACTGGTACTGAAAACACAGATTCAGAAATGAATAACTCTTTCAGTGGGCTTATCATCGGATAGAGGAAAATATCAATGAACTTGAAGACTTATCAGTAGAAATTATTCAAGTTGAAACTCAGAGAGAAACTGGAAGAAGGAGGGGAGATAATGGAAAGTTCCCAAAGCCAGCAGGAACCACACATTGTGGCCAGCAGACATCCTTCCTGTGGCCATATGAGTAACAGCCCTATTTCCACGAAACAGGATGACCAAGAACTTCTCCCACTCCTCCACGATGGCCCTACTTGTGTTTCTCTGACTGGATGTGATACCAGAATTCCTTTTCATTCCATCCCTCAAAGAGGCCCTGACTTGTCTCCAAAGGACTATCAGACTGCCCCTCCCCCTCCTCTCTCTCTTTCTCTTTCTCTCTCTCTCTATTTCACACACACACACACACACACACACACACACACACACACACACACATCTCCAAACTGCCTAGCAGCTTCTACATGGGAGGATTCCTAATGTTCTTCAGCCTTGAAACCAGGGTTCTGGAGAGCTTCACACACAGAGGCCCTGCTCCTGTCCATAGCAGGGTGGCTAGTGCAACTCAGGGTGGCAGAGATGGCTTATAAATACCATTTTTTTCTTTATAGTAAAATTATTTGGCTTTGAATCTTAAAACAGTGAATTGGACCACAAAGCAATGAGTCAGCCTACCTTTGATTATCTGAGTTTGGTTGCTAGGAGGATACAGGAAGAGCCATTTTTCTGTATTGTATCAAGCCCTTTGAATTAATTCACTTCCATTTATAGAACATTTCTGGAATTAATCGGTTGAGTAAATGACCCTTAAAAGAAAAGAAAACGTTTGCATTTGGTATGAAGGGTACGTTTGAAAGGACACAGCAAGCACAAAAGCTTGAGATGAGAAGACACAAAGGAAATCAGTTTTTCAAAGTGTTTTGAACTCTTTGGAAATGAATTATCTTGGCACAAAATGATGTCTATTCTTGTAGAATAATCATGCCCTGATGTTATAATACTTAACGCTGAGCCTCTTTTAGTTCTGTCTGGATGGATGTGGGCAAGGACAGTGAGATACAACCTGTCTTGTGTGACACACCATCTAGTTGTGTTTTTGAAGATATGTCATGAAATTAACAATCATGGTTGAAGATTTCAAAAGTAGTGTGTAAATCAGCGCACACACACAAAAGGAAGAAGATGCCTTGAGACCAACTGCTTATGTGCTCACAGAAGGCTGTCTTCTTGGCCAGTTGTCCCATTTTCAGCTGGTCTCAACTCATAGATGTTTTGTCCAGTTCCTCTACCAGTTCCTCAAATAGGCAAGTATAGACTTAGACTTAAGAGGGCGATGGTGAAGCTGCCCTGTATTCCATTGTTGACAATGCTGTTGGTCTCTCTGAAGCTATCACACACTAGATTGCTGATGGTTTTCTGCCAAGTGGAATTTCCTTTTTGGTTGGTGATGCTAGCTGGCTGCCCCTGGAAGCACAGGCTTCACAATGTCGGCACAAGCACTATGCAGCAGAGACCACACTCACATTTTGTCCCCTTCCCACAGGTGTCACATGATTGATCAGACTGCCTCCTCCACCCCAACAAAGCCCCTCTATGTCTCTGGCTAACCTTAAAGTCTGGCTTGTTAGCCTAGAGATTGCAAGACTTTCATGGAAATCCAGTGAACCTCTTCCCAGCCTGGTCTCCAGACTCCATGATCCTGGGCTTGACCCTCCTGCTGTTTTCTTTGTTGTCTAATCTCACATTACTCACTGTGATGAGGATATCTTCCACATCTTGTCCTGCTAGAATTGTAGCTGACCTTAAAAGCCCAGCATGAGTTTAAGTCGGCTTCAGCCTTCCAGCCTCCCAGGACCCTCTGCGTGAACTCTTTGTGGCACTCTGGTTTTTCACCACATGTCAGTCTCACCTACAAAAGTACAACAATGCTTTTGTCACTGTGGTGGGCCTTAAACCACAGGCCTTTCTCAGAGCACTGGGCATGCATTCATTCAGCAGACGTTTGAGTGCATGTTGAGTCCACACAGGTGCCACACTGCTCTGCACTGAGAGCAGCCATGGATGCTTCCCCAGGGGCTTACCTTCTAGAAGGGAATCTCCCCACCATTTGCTGAATGCCTACTCAGAACTGGGCACTGAACTAATGCTTTATTCCCTTCTCCCCCTATATATATAATCTTCACCACAGCTTCGAAGAGGTAAGTTTTTCTCATCACTGTTTTTCACATGAAACCCGAGGCTCAGAGATGGAAGGTAATTAATTGGCTCAGGGTTTCACAGTTAGTAAAGAGCAGTGAGTGTGTGAACTCAGGACTCTTGACTTACAAGTTCATAGTCTAGCCCCTCACAAGGCTGACACAGGCATCGGCACTGAGGAGACTGCGTGTTGCCTGTTCTGTGTCTCCCTCTTTTGTGATACCGTGTTCTGTGTCTGCAGATCGAGCCGTACATGCCGTATGAGTTCACGTGTGAGGGGGTGCTACAGAGAATCAACGCCTTCATTGAGAAGCAGGTGAGGCTCTCCGGAAGTCCGTGTGTCTCCGGTCCTGCTTCCTGTCACCGAGGAGGCCTCTCACCAATGGTTAAGGGCGCACCATGTTTCTTGGGTCATTTTCCTGATTTGAAAGACTCCAGAGCCTGGATAATGGGTTTTTTTTGGAATTCTGGAGCAGGCCCTATAGTGGTCATCCGAGAGTCAGTCTATCCTTGGGGAAAAGTATATTCTTTATGATAGTGGAGGCCAAATGAGAACTGAGGGAAGACACTGGATAGTCAAGATGAAAACCCTCTTGACCATCAGCCCTGCACCTGCCCACACTCCAAGAGGCATCATAAAGACCTGGTGGGAAGGGGACAATAGACAGCTCTCTGGCCCTGCCTGTGGTCATTCCTCACCCTAAGAAAGGCAAGGATGGGAGCCTGTGGTTCTAAGCATTCCTTTAATAGATGTCCTGTAATTCCAAATACATTAGGATTTCTCAGTGGTTTTCAAACATCTTTTAAAACAGGACCCCTTTTCAAGTGAAACTTTACATGAAATCTAAGTTATATAAAGCAGATAAAAGAAGCGCTCTCTGCACTGCAGGTGGGGGGTGTTCGTAAGTCCCACGACCCCATCAGAGTGTGGAAGCTGTGGCTCGTGCTCGTGGAAGTAAAGGCTGAGCTTGTCATGGCCATCATTTATAACATTTTAATTCCTTAGGCTTCAAAAGCAGCATGGTGCTGAAAATAGACTGAGCCCCTGTGGGTAGCGGAGTATGAACTTCTTGACCAGAGTCCAGAAATAGGGGCTCCTCTTCAAGGGCAAAGCATAGTGCCTTGGGGCGATCAAGAAGGCTTTACACAATAGGGGTGAGGATTGTGCAGCCTCAAATGGAAATGGCACATTGAAAATGTAAGAGACAAAGATCACAGGCCCAATGTAGGCTTCAGAGAAACGATTTGGGTTGACCGGGTGGTGAGCAGTGGGCAGGCCTGTGCTGCTGCTGGAAGGGAGAGCTGGGAGCGGAGGCAGCAGGGTGGCAGTCTGGGCTTCTGATTTTCTGGGGGGACCCACGGGATGGCACACTATGCAGCCAGCCACCTGGGCCTCCATTCCAGCACCACGACTTTCTGGTCCTGTGACTTAGGTGTGTTACTCAGCTTCTCCCTGCCTTAGTTTCCTCCCCTTTGAAATAAGATGATAACAGAATAGCTAGGGCTGATATGAGCCTTTAATGAACTAGTTCATGGGAAGTGCTTAGACCAGGGCTGGCACAGTGTTCAATAAATGCAAACCAGTATGCTGATTGCTCCTACATTATAGCATGTGTAATATTGTGTTATATTCTTACACAAGCTTGTTTTATTATTATAATGTTATACAGTATTACCCATCTGACTTCACCATGAAAGCTAAGCATTTGAATTATTATCCTTCAGTTTTTGTATGACACCTAAATTAAGAATGACAGTATAATCATCCTAACCCTCACAGCCTTTTACATACAGGCTCTACGCTATGTATGCCATGCTCACCATCTCATTTAATTCTCATGTAATCCTGGGAGGTGGCAGGAGTAGCCCCATCCTCTGGACACTCACATTAACAGGACTCAACCCTGGAATCAAGACAGATGCTGAGCCAATGGGAGCCCAGGCTGCACCCAAGGCATTGTGGGGCCAGGCCACAGCAGGTGGCCCAGAGCTGCACTGCCCATGTTCTCACCTCAAGGAGCGTGGGTCCTTCCTGAAGGGGGGCAGTGAGTTTAAAGACGGCTCTTACCAGTGGCAGGGGGGCTTCCTGAGGTTCTACCAGGATCCCCGCTCCTGAACCCCACCACCTCTTCTCCTGTCTTCACTTCCTCTCAGGGAAAAGGGCTATTCACCACCACAAGTGAAAAGACTCTTTATTTGAAGGCTTTTATTTCTTTTCTTTCCTAAGACTCTTGAATCCCAGCTAGTCCTTAAAAGTCCTTATGTGGCCTGTTCTCTGTAAATCTATTACTCCGTCTCTTTTCGGACACAAAGGCCACACTTCCCAAACCTTGCTACATGCTGCCTAATGCAGGGGCCATGCCAACTTGCTCACCTCTCAATGCCACGTGCCTAGCCCTCTGCCTGGCACATAGTAGGTGCACAATAACTCCCCGTTGAAGGAATGAATGAGTGGGTGAGAGAGTGAGTGAGTGAGCGAGCCCCTGGGTTTGGTTTGTTTGTTTGTCATGTGTACCAGAAAGCTCATCTTGGACCTATGATTGGAAACAGGTCACTTCCACAAGCTGGTGAAACTGCCCTTTCACTCCACCTCCTGGGTGGGAGTTCACTGCAGAGCTCCGTGGCTCACAGGCACCGAGAGGTCTTTCTTGTCTGCTGCTGTTCATCCATCCTCTCTGCAAAGATGTCAGCTGTGTGCTGTGAACCCTGTGCTGTGGACTCCAGCCATGGGCTGTGGACTCCAGCCATGTGCTTGGAGCCAGTCGGGGAAGAAAATATGTCCAAGAACTAGCCCCTGTCCTCAGATAGCTTCAGTTGTCACAGAGAAGCCAGTCAGAGCCACAGGCAACACCTCTGATGGAGGTTACACCCTGTGATAGTGATGTGACCAGGATACTTTGGGGTGCTTGATTCAGAGATTCTCTCCCGAGGCATTTACAAGAGAGGAGTCCTGGAAGCAGACTGGGGCGACAGGGAGGATGGAGGATGGAAGAGAAATGAAGGTAAATTATTGGAAGTTTAGTTGTGGCTGAAGGGAGAGACGTTATGAAGGATGAGACTGGTGGAGAAGGTAGATCATACAACGATGCTGAGGCTCAGCTGAAGATTTCAGATTTGGTTGTGGGACAACAGGAAGTAAAGGCTTTAAGGCCAGGTGAGGGTCGTGAAGCTGTCAGACTGGGGTTTGGGAAAATTACTCTTGGCATCTTGTAGGTATTTCTTATTAAGCATTTCCCAGAGCTGCAAAAAAAAAAAAAGCAGTAAAGGGGCTGTTCTAAGTTTACCCCAGCCTCTGAGGATTTCATCAGTGCCATAGTCCCCAGCTCCTCAAAGAAGATGAAGCATGAACCCCACTGGCTGGCAGATGGGTCCTCTGCCTAGAACGACCGCCATTAGTCCCAGCCAGAATTTTTGGGTTTCTTGTGTTTGCAGCTAGAGGGCCATATTCAAAGAGCAGTGGGACTCAGAGCAGTGTGTCTGGTTTGAATAAGAAAGCTCAAGCTCTTGAGGTGGTAGCACCTCAGCTTTCTTAGAGGCCGCAGCTCTAATTAGGCTGATCTCTGCCTGCAAATCCTCCTGTGATCCATGGGGAAGAGGAAGCTTTCATCCCAGAACCCTTTCAAAATGCCCATCAGCTCCCCAGGCAGCGGCAGCTGAGCAGAGGGAGCTGATTGGCAGCAGCACTTGTGAGAGCCCCGGGCTGCAGCATGCGGTGGAGCTGCTGGCAGCAGGGAATCTGCCTCATGCCCGCCAAGCCCGCTGGAGCCCCCAATGGAAAGAATCCTGGCTCCAGGAAAACCGCTTGCTTTTCCCTTCACTGTCCTTGCCTCCCCTTCACTGCACTAAAAATGCTGATTTGGATTGCAAGCTCTTTTAAATCGCCTCTCTAACTGAGGTCCTGTCTCCAGCAGCAGAGGTTGGTGGACAGGCCACATCCCTGGTGGTCTGATATCAAGAGCACCGTCTTCCCTGACCTGCGTGGGTCCAGGCTGTGAGGGCTCTCATTGTGCATTTCTTGGGAGAGACCTAGGAATCTGCCTCAGGCCAGAGAGTAAGCGGGCTCTTGTAAAGAATGTTCAGATTGGTTTCTGAAAACCATACCTATGCTCTTGGACACTATTTTCTACTTCCGGTATAGACCTTGTAAATATGGAGGGTAGTTGTCCTCATGTTATTTTGGAGATATGGAAGAAAAAACGAGCTAACTCTAGGAGCCACTGTGGAATCAGCTTTAGTTCCAGGAAACCGGCTCATGGAAGCCCCTGGGGAGTAAGGACACACCTGGATCGTGGGGTGGGAATGGTGGGGGTGACAGCTGCAGGGCAAGAAGAAAGGAATTGAAAAGCGGAGAGGTTATCACTAGCATGGACAATGTTTGCTCCTTTGAAAAAATCGGGTGCTGCCATTTGCCCAGCCCTTGCTGATCCCAGCGAAACTGGGCAGGCAATGATTAAGCAGCGAAGTTTCCTAACCTCACTGCTGTTTCTCTTCTGTGCAGTGGGGATAATACCCCCTACCCCTTAGGGCTGGTGGAGGAATCAGTAGATTAATACATGTTTAGGGCTAAGACAGTGCCTGACACAGAATAAATCCTCTGAAAGCCTTAGCTGCTCGCCACTGAAGGAGCCCAGAAAACAACAAAGGTGTGTTTTTCAAACAGCCTCATTGAGGTATAGTTGTCAAACCTTAAAATTCATTCCTTATAAGGATACAATTCAGTGTTGTTGTTGTTGCTGTTGTTTTAGTAAATTTATAGTTGTGCCTTTACCATGACAGTCTGGTCTGATAATTTCATCACCCCTGAAAGCTCATTTCTGCCTATTTGCCGTCGGTCCTTGCTCCCTGACCTGAGCCCCAGGAAATACTGATCTGTTCTGTCTCTATAGATTTGCCTTTTCTGGAGAATTCTGGCTTCTTTTCCTCAGCATAATGTTAGGTGCATGCATGTTAGCATGGATCCGTGCCTCATTGCTTCTTTATTGCAGACTAGCCTTCCATTGTATGCATGTACCGCACTTGGTTTATTCATCAGTTGGTGGACATTTGGGCTGTTTCCACCTTTTAGCTGCTGTGAACATTCATGAGCATGTGGATGTACATTTTCCTTCCTCCTGGGCCAACTCCTAGCAGTGGAAGGAAATGGAATATGAGAGGTTTAAGTCTGACTTTTTCTAAAGAGAGCTTGTTGTTGGCATGGATTTATATAAGTGGAAATGGTTCTTGGAGATGTCACCACAGCTTAGTTCCCAGCCACCTTCTCTGTTGCCCTCGGGGAAACACAGAGTCTCTCCCACCACTGAGAATCAGCCCCAGCGCACTCAGGAATGGACTTCATTCCTTTTGAGGACAGCACAAGCTGAGGATGGTGGATGCCAACAGGCAGCTGAGCTATGTTAGATCTGGTCAGTCAGTCAGTACTTACTGAGCACTTTTCTTCCTGGATTTCAGTTGTGATATAAATAGTAAATGTCTCCCTTACCCTTCAAATAACTGACCAAACTTGGCCTAACCTCCACTTTTATGACCTAGAACTTGCCCCCACTACCTCCCCCATTTTTTCACAAATTGCTGACCTTATTTATTCTTAATCCTGCTTCCAGGTCTATATCTGAACCTATTTTTGTTGTTGTTGTTGTTCCAGACAATCCATTTTCGCCTGATATGTCATGGCTGTAGTAACTCTGTTAAGGATTTGGTTGGACTGGGGAGCTTGTGGAAAGGATCCCATCTTCTACAACCAAGAGAGGGGCTGCCCCTCCACCGAGTGCTTCTCTCTGGGGAGGAGCCCACCCCTCTTCTCTAGCTCTCTTGGTATTTTTTGAATAATAATCCAAGGCTAAGTATCACCATTGCTGTCACTTAGCCTTCGTTCCAAAAGCAGCAGCACCCTTAACTTTTCCACAGTAAATTGTGTTCATTTGTTCAGAACATTGCTTTTTCTATAAATTTGCATTAATAAACCCTTCTCATTACAATTACTGCAGGAAATTTTCAGAATAGTCGAGCGAATTTAGGGAAATTTGGTGACTGGTTGAAATAATTGTTCTGTGTTCTGAGAGGGCTCATTAACCAGATTGGAAATTACTATTTATGTTTCATTCTATGTATATAAAGCCTCTCTTGGTTACAATATTGTTCTTTTCTACTGCTATTGTCGAAGCTCCAAGATGCCAGACCATTAAATTCAGTTCAATAGCCCTTTATTGAGCACCAGTTACCTGCAAAGCACTATGTTAGTGATAAGCCACTATCTCCTATTCAGCCTACAAAACCCAGTCTGAAAGCCCCTATTTTCTGGAAGCCTTCTCTGATAACTACCACCATCACTCTTCCCCTCGTCCCAGAGTTCATTCTTTTTCTCCTCTGAGTGGCTGGTGCATTCCTCTTTGGACGTCTGATCTGTATAGTTCTTTAATTTTGGTATGTTGTGCATGGATCCTTTAAGCCAGAGCCTGTGCTTCATTCACATTCCTATTTCTTGCATCTAGGGAAATTTTAACAGTCATTTGTAAAGTGTTGAGTAGATGATGAGAAAGCCTTCAAAGCCAGCATATAAGACATGAGTGATGGAGGTTTGCTGAACAAAGATGCCAGTCTGATCTGAAGCCATTGTCGCCCTCCTGCACGGTCCCATAGCTTCCTGCCTCTGCCTTTGCTGTGCTCCTACTCTCTGATCTCAGCAGATCCTGCCACTCTGCTGTCACCGGCAGTGGTGGTGGGGGGGGGAGAATCTGAAGTGGGACCCCCTAAGCACTCCACCACCACTTACAGGTTCTTGATTTCCTGGGAAAGAATTGAAGAGCCAGTCCAAGTGAGAAGGAAAGCAGGTTTTATTTAGGTTGAGAGAAAGGGGCCAGAACAGAATCCCTGGAGACAGGATGAGGGTGAGCCCAGAGCAGTCGGCACCAATGCTCCCCTGGTTGTGCATTCCTGTTTGGGCATCTGTGAAGGAAGGCACCTGCTAAAGTACACATCCCAGAGGACACGGTGAACTCAGAGTGAGTTCTGCTGGGCCAGTCAGTTCTTGGGATGTATTTGATGTGTTCCCAAGGCTGGGTTGTTTCTGAACTTTGTGGTGCCAAATTCTGCCTCCGCCTTCTGGTTGGGGCAGGGGGGCCTTGTTCCTTCACAAATATGATCCTTTCTGAGGTGTCCTGGCTTTGCCCCCTGTCGGTTTTCATTATAATGAAGGTATAATGAGCTTTGGGGTCAGTCTCTGATCAGTTTTTCCTCCATCTTGTATTGGCCTGGTTTTAGTCAGTCCTTGCTGTTGTTGACTTCTTCAACTACCCACCCCTGCCACAAACTGTTTCCCTTTGATAGTTTACCTGCCTGTGATGTGAGGTGGCTCCCACTTCCTCACTCCCCGTGAGGGTTTTCCCCAGCTTCTTTCTGTCCTGCCCCACTCCCCTCCCAGAACTCTGGCTCCATCTCACTAGGAGGTGGAGACAAAGCTTTACATGGACCCCAAAGTTCTGTGTGTGCTGATCCCTGGGACCCCTCACCCTAGACCTGTCTCCTATTTCTGACCCCCAACACACACACACTGTTCAACCCACTGAATTCTCTGCTGCTTTTGGAACCTGCTTGACACTCCATTATCAGAGCCTCTGGTCTTGGTTTCCGTCTGTCCGAAATGTTTTTCACAGATACTGTGTGGCTCCCTTTTTTACTTCCTCCTGTCTTTTCTTAATGTCACCTTCTTGGCCCTGGCTGGGTAGCTCAACTGGTTCCAGTGTGGTCCTGATACACCAAGGTTGTATGTTTGTGTCCATTCAGGACTCATGCAAGAATCAACCAATGACTGCATCAATATGTGGAACAACAAATCTCTTTCTCTCCCTCTTCCTCTACCTTTCCCTCCCCCTCCTCCTTCCGCTAAATAAACTAACTAATTAAAATGTCACCTTCTCCATGATGCCTTACCTGGACCCTCTCCTCCCCCACATCTCCATCCCTTTTCCTCACTTCATTCTTTTAAGAACACTTATTATCTTTTAACATATTATATATAATTCATTTCTCTGTTTTTCTGTCTCCCTCATTGGAGATAAGCTGCATGAAGGCAGTGGTTTGGGTTTCTTCTTAGTTTTCCACTGAGTCTTCCCAAGGGCCTAGGAGAGTGCCTTGCACATAGTGACAGTAAGAGCCAAATGCAGATGGTGGTGTTTATCTCAGGTGCCTTTCTGAGCATTTTACGCACAGCTCTAGAAAATTGGTATTTTCTGCATTTTACAGCAAAAACTGAGACAAGATTATGTAACTAATCAAGATCATTCAGCTAGTAAGTGGAGGAGCTAGATTCAGCTAGTTTGAGTTCTGAACCCTTCCTGCTTCCTAGCCAGTATTTTGTTGAGTGAATGAGTGAGTGAATGAATGAATTGAGTGAGTGAATGAATGAATTAATGAATGTGTAAGTGGATGAGTGCTTATAGGAAAGAGACCAGTTGGCATTGCTATGATAGCTTAGGCTTAGGTTGACTGAAACAAGACCTCCAGCCTCCCATGAGCACCTGGGGCCTTGATCGAGGGGTGAGAAGAGGCTTGTGAAGGGGCTTGGGCAAAGGGATGGCTCTCCTGGACAAATTGTCTTACATACTCCAGGCAACTCAACCTCTTACCTCTGGACCCTGGCAGCAAGTAGTGGTCGACCTTGGAATATTCCCTGTAACATTTCTTGGTGCCTCTTAAAAGCCTCCTCATTTTAGCTCACAGGAATCATATAAGGACTGAAGAACAAGTGGTATTCTCCATTTTAGATGTGATAGCAGCAGAGAGCTCCAGGGATGTCTGTGAAGTCCCAGCTGGAACTATAATTGTAGCCCAGAGCCCCACGCTTCTCCTGCCTTACCTGGTCCCGTGCTTACTGGGAACACCTTCAGGCCTTCCCCGCTTCAGTATTACCAAGTCTTGGAAGGTCCTGCTGCTACTTTTACTATTGGCTCCCAAAACAGACTTCTGAGAGGATGCCAGCCCAGCCCCAGTGAGCCCTGAGCAAGCACGACTGGGGCCCGTGTAATTGCACTAAGCTCGCCCGTTGAAGGGACCTGGAGATGGTTGGCCATAGTGGTTTACTGAGAAGTGAGCAGATGGCACAGATCCACCCTGCAGCGGAGCTTTGAGGGTACTTGCTTCATGCAGACGTCATGGTGCCATGTAGCCCCAGCCTCTCAGATGCACAGGCATCCCCTCTATGAGGGACAGGAAGAGGGGTGAGCACTTGTGGTCCACTTGCTGTTTGCCAGCCTTCCGCTCAGCTCCATCACTCAGTTTCATTTTCCACAGATGAGTGATGGAGCCCAGACCAGACTGGGTATCGTGCCAGAGCACCCAGGGACCGCGTCAGATCCAGCCTCCTAACTGAAGTGCCTTCCTTGGAGTTAAGATCACCTCCTAATCTAACATGGCAGAGTCTTTCTCATTTGTTTTATTCCTGGGACTGCTTCACGTACCACAAGAAGCTAAAAATGAATAAGGAGAAAGGTTTCTAACTGCCTGTAGGCGTCATATAAGGAAAGACATTCGTGATTGTTTTTTAAGAAAAGCTCTAACAGCCAGTATTGGAGCTTCTAGCCTTGGTGGATTTCCAGTTCCCCAGCCCAATCCAGGTTGCAGTCGAGGGAGCTGGTAGTTGGACAGGTGGAGAGCTGGCCCAGGAACATGCTCTGGCTAAGGCCAGTTCCAACCCAAGTTTGTTTGGAGCCCACCTGCTCCCCTTCCCTGTTCCCTGGCAGCAGCCACCTCCCCTGTGGGCTGCCTGGCAGGCTGTGGTTGCAAGTTGCAGCTTTGGTCCCTTGACTGATGGCTTTTTGTCATTCCAGGACTTCTGCCATGGGCAGGTGATGTGGCCACCCCTCAGTGCCCTGCAGGTGAAGCTTGCTGAGCCCGGGCAGTCCTGCAAGCAGGTGTGCCAGGAGAACCAGCTCATCTGTGAGCCGTCTTTCTTCCAACATCTGAACAAGGACAAGGACCTGCTGAAGTGAGTGCTGGAGCGGGGCGGGCGGGGCAGCCTAGAGCAGGATGAGGTTCTGTCTCCAGGCTCGTGGGCTGTGGGAAAAGATGTGGGAAGGTGAGCAGGTTGCAACGTGATCCCCCCCCAGAGAAAGTTAGCAGCATTTTTATTTAGGTAGATGAGGTCACCTGCCATGCCGATATATTTAGAATTCAATTGAGAGTATTTTATCTGCATAAGTAATGTCATGTCTGGGCTTGAAGATTGTGGGAGGTGTTCACTTTGCTACCGTCATACCCGAGAACCATGAGAGCGGAGGTGGGCACAGAACCACAGCAGTCTGAGACGTGCAGGTGGCGGGTGAGCCTTGCATCCTAGAGTAAGGAAGGAATGGGAGACATGGCAAGAACTGCCTAGAGCAAAGTCCATGCCATCCTCACTTCCTGCAACCCATCCTTGTTTGCACATTTGCCCAGCTCTTCTGATCTGAGCAGGCCTGACCTGCCAGGTCCCTGGGCAGGAGGGGGGTGTGGTGGGCACCTGGAATGCAGGCCAGCCTGCACCCAGGAGGGGCCATCTGGATCGCACAAGAACTTTCGCCCTTGTGCTTGCATTGCTTTTACCGACACCACTCACTTCCCTCTGCGTTGGCATTTTGAGTTTGGCAGTTGCAGTTCCCAAATTTCCATATGAGGTTTCTTTGATCTCTGACTCATGGCCCCCTTTGTAGAGCAGTGGTCTGTCCCTGTCTCAAAGAGTGTTTAAGGAACACAGTGGCCTCTGGAGCGAGGCTTGCCTGGCCCTGCTCTGGCTTTGCACCTATCGGAGAATGAGGTCGGCCACTGTGGTTACCTGTGCACAGTCGTCTGAGCTGGCCTGGTCATTATTCTCAAGTAAAAACCCGTTATGGAAAGAGCACGTGGCTCTGGCATCAATCACAGCCGCAGGGAAGCTCCGCTGAGGTGAGCCGTGGGAGATGCTATCTTCCTGCCAAGACCAGGTCCAGCTGCCCTGGCTCACCATCAGCCTAAAGGCCAAGCCTGGCAGGCAGTGCAGTGCCTGCTGTGGTGGAACCTCTGAGAGGGAGCGGTGCTCTGGTATTTATGGAAAGCCTGTAATGGTTCTAGAAGCTTCCATTTCCATATCACACATCCCGGATTCTAGGGTCCAGGAAGGGCTCTCCATGGCTCATCTTATAAACAGTCCCTGTAGTAAAGTGATTTTTTAAGAACCCCAAGTGTCTATGCATCAGTCTGGATTTGCTGGGGTCAGACTAGGGACTGTCCACCCAGAATTGTCTAAATGCCCCCCACCTGTCCCTAGGAAACAGGGATGCTGCTGCCCAGATCCCGTGATCGAGGCTCCACACAGCATGCCTTTCCCCAGGGCATGGGCCTAGGTCCAGTGAGGAGATAGAAAGGGGAGCCAATGGCTAGTCTCCTCTGTCCCCTTGATTTTCTCATCTGTAAAATGGGGACATCCTGGGTGATGGTGAGGTGATGTGCAGCCAGTGCTGACGCGGAGCAAACGGCCCTTCTTCCAGAGCTCTGAGTGGGGAGACAGGCCCGAGGTAACCAGGAGGAGCCAGGGGAGCCAGGCCTCGTGCCATGGGCGTGTCTAACAACTCCCACCCCCATTGGAGCTTTCTTCTTGGGAGCCCGCAGGGAATGCTAACATTGCAGTAAAGCTGCCTGCAGTTAATTCTCTGAATGTAAAGGCCCTCCTGAAAGCATTGTGCCTGCATTTGTAAATGCTGACAATGTTGTAAAACCCAGCTATCTGCCATCTGTTAGTGCCTCCTCTGCACAAGGTGCCCTGGCCACCCTTGTTCATGGCCAGTTAGCAATGAGGGGCTCCACACACCAGCATTGCTTTTCCTGTTCCACCTTGCAGGCCTGAATTGTGACATGAATTGAGCCCTTTAGAGCATCCCATGCTGTCACTTTGAATTAGGAATCGGCAGCTGGTCTTGAGCTGTGGTGCAGTCAGGGCACAGAGCATGCACGGTTCTAACCAAAATGGGTAGAGACCCTGGGATGAACCAAGCCCAGGCCGGGGTGGCCCGTTGGGGAGGGCCTCGCTCCATATGTGCGTTCACATGAGACCTTGTTTGTGATTTGGCTGCCTTTTCAAGTTGTATCTTCTAAATTATTAGATTATTAAGTTTCGGAGGATTTTAACTAAGTTGGTGCCTGGGAAGAGGGAATGGCCCTGAGTCAGAGTGGTCAAGAGGAGCGAGGGGCATGTGGAAGTAGCAGGGTGGCGGGTGAGGAAGGGAGGAACTCGAGGACAGGGACTATGGGAGGGCTAGGCCAGCTACAGCCCCTCCCCCTGTGTGTACCCGTGTGTACCCATGGGTGGTTCTGTCCTCTCAGGAAGTCGGGGGCCCGTGGGAAGACGGACCTTTGCCCTTTGATTCTTGCATAGCCATAAAATGTAAACTGAGGCATTGGACCTCAGGAGCCCCTACTCTTCCCTGAAAGAGAAGCAGGAGAGGCAGCACCTTGCACAAGGGAAACTAGACCACAGCAGGGTCTCTGCACAGGTGTGAGAGTGTATGAGCAAGAATGGGCATGAATGGGTATGTGTGTCGGGGGCGACAGACATCACAGGAACACAGAGGCTGGAACTGTGGCATGCATGCCCTGGAAAGGAAGGGATCCCCAGTGGAGAGGGAATTGCGGGCCATGGAGGCCATCTGGGCTCTGGGTACTCCGCAGGTATTAGGAAAGTCACCTCACCTCTCTGGTGAATTCTCTCACCAGCTAAGCAGAAATGATGGCATGGCCTTCCTGGGTGGCCAGGGCTGTGGGGCAGGGCCCTGCCGCTGAAGGAGGGAGCGCTCCCTAGGGCCAGCAGGTGGGTGGCATCCAGAGGTGGCCAGAGCTATGCCACGCACGGGACCATGTGAAGACTGGGGACTGCCTGTGGGAAGGCTGCCATCTCCGACATCATCCCTGGGCAGGCAGGCTGCTCCTATGACCACCCCGGTGAGATGCACTCACACTAGGAAACAGAGCCTGGGATCTGAGTTCAGGTGACCAGGGCAGGAGCTGGCGGGTTCTCTGTGTTCACTGACAGTGATAGCCCATGCCATGGGGTCTGAGGTGAGTTGCAGACCTTTCCATGCTCCTGCTTAGCAGGGTACCAGGCAGAAGAATCAAGATTCAGTAGGTGCTATCATTCCCCTCAATAAAGAGCTTAAGCATAACTGTTTCCCAAGGCTGTGTTCCATGTGGAAACTTGAATGCACACCTGAGCTCTGGAGACCCCTTGCTGTGGATTGGCCAGCTGGGATAGCCTGTATAGGGTTTGGAAGCCCTGAGTCTCTGTCTCCTTTTCCTTTAAGAAAGCCATAAAACTCCACTTCTTGCCTTCATCTTCCTGGTCCACAACCTATCGCCTCCACCTCCTAGCTGGTGTGCCAAGAGCAGAGGTGATGGGGGATTTAGGGAAGTCGCAGAGCCCACTGGTGACTACAGGGGTGGGATACAAGGGAGCTCTGCCTTCCCCGGCACCAAGAGCCAGGCTGGCAGCCCTGAGAGCCACCAGCATCCCCCAGATGCCCTGGAAATCATCTGATTTAGTGTTGGCAATGGCTGGGCCAGGCAGTGTGTTAGTTGGCTGGAGAAGACAAGAGGGGGCTGGAGGAATGGCGCTTTGGTAAGGGGACCTGGAAGCTTTGCAGGGACAGCAGGAAATCTTGGGGTCCCCAGCCAGACCCTCCCCTGTTCGCAGGAATGGAGACTTCTGTGAATGTAGGAAAATTGAGACAATTGTCCTGTGTGTCCGTTCACAATGTGGGAAGGGAGGCCGATGCCTAGTCCACCCAGTGTCTGCCAGGCAGAGAACCATGATGGTGATGATGTTTGTGACAGAAGTTCCCACTTCCTGAGCCCTCCCCCAGAGCTAGACACTGCCCAGTGCTCTAGGGTGCTGCTGTCATTCCTGGGCCTCCCATGGTTAAGGATATCTACCCCAGTTCACAGAGGCTCAGTCCTGGGTCCAGGGTCACAGGTCTGCCTGGTGCCTGGACCTTCTTCTCTGAACTGTCCCTACATGGCATGCAGGCACCAGACTGAACACCTGGTGAGCTGGGGGGCAGCAGTGTACCCCAAGGAGCTGGAGGAGAAAACATGGCCCCTTTCTGGGACAGAGGCTGGCAGTGTTGGGCCCAGGAAGTGTTCCAGCCAGAGAATCAGAGCTACTGGGTCTGTAGCCCACAGACAAGCCAGCTGTAGGAGATGGCAGAGGAGCAGGAGCACAGGCTGGGGTCAGCATTTAGACTCCTCCCTGCAGTCCTGAGGCCTAGCACTCACCTGGGGGGGAGGGGGTAATGGGGCTGCTGTTGCCTGGCTGCAGAGGACCAGTGAGCCACGCCCCAGAGCAGCACCTCCCTCTGATTAGCAGGATACCAGGAAGATGATTCCTGCCGAAGAGACCAAGGCCATGCAACAGGAATCTTTGTGAGCCGTCAATAAAAACATTCAACATAGCTGTAAAAATTAGGGTGTCCAAAAAGGTACACACACTTTGAATAATTATAAAGATAGTGTTTATTAAAATACACTAGAGGCCCAGTCATGAAATTTGTGCATAGGGATGGGTGGTGGGGGGGGGGGGGGCTCAGCCCAGCCTACACTGTCTTCAATCTGGGACCCCTCAAGGGATGCCCGACTGCCCTCTCATAATCCAGGACTGCTGGCTCCCAACACCTTACCTGCCTGATTGCCCCTAATTGCTTCTGCCTGCCAGCCTGATCACCCCACCCCATAACCACTCCCCTGCCAGCCTGATTGAATCCTAACTGCTCCCCTGCTAGCCTGGTCACCCCCAGCAGTCCTCCCCTGTAGGCATGGTTGCCCGCAACTACCCTCTCCTGCAGGTCTGGTCCCCCACAACTGCCCTCCCCTGTAGGCCTGGTCCCCACAACTGCCCTCCCCTGCAGACCTGGTCTCCCACAAGTGTACTCCCCTGGAAGCCTGGTCATCCCCAATTGCCCTCCTCTGCCGTCCCAGTCACCCTTAACTGCCCTCTCCTGCAGGCCCCCCACAACTATTCGATCAGGCTGTCAGGGGAGTGATTATGGGTGGGGTGATCAGGCTGGCAGGCAGAAGCAGTTAGGGGCCCTCTCTTTCAAGCCTGGTCCCTCCCAATTGCCCTCCTCTGCCGGCCATCTTATGGCGGCCATATTGTGTCCACATGAGGGCAACCATCTTTGACCATATGGGAGTGGGCATCTTGTGTGTTGGAGTGATGGTCAATTTGCATATTACCCTTTTAATATATAGTATTTCATTTTCAAAATTGAGTTATCAGCTCTTAAAATGTATATGCATATTTCTGGGGACACCCTGTATTTAAATATTACTAGACTTTGCCCCAGTCTTATTCCTTAGAAGTAACCATTGTTAAGGTTTTAATGTATAGCCTTCTCAGCTTTTAGACACAGTCTCACATAACATATTACACACACTCACATTCTCTTACACACACACATACACACATACACCCCCCATACACACACACCTTCTTATACACACTCATATTCTTACCCATTCACATGCACACATACACCACACACACGTTCTTATCCATGCTTTCAACCACTCATATACATACACACACCACACATCACAGTTCTTCCACACTTATACTCTTACCCACTCACATATACACACACACATATACCACACATGATCTTACACACCCCATGTGCTCAACCACTCACATGCACAAACACATACATCACTCACATTCACTCACACATGTTCTTACACAACCATACCCTCACCCACTCATGCGCACACACATGCACACACACACACAGGTGGAGCTGGGTCACGCTGTGCCTCCTGTTCTGCGACTTGCCTCCTGCAGGACAGCTCCCCACGGCCACTTGCTGCCTAGAACTCCCAAAGCACATGCACCAAGTTGATCTCCCCGTTCCCCACGTGGTGTTTGGGTTGTTTACTTTTATGCTTATATACAGTCTTCACAAGCAGCCTTGAATGCATGTCCCCACGCATCCAGGCACACACCTCTCTCTAGCCCCATCCCTCCAGTGGAGACTTGCTGGGGCAGAGGGTGGAGACTTGCTGGGGCAGAGGGTGGAGACTTGCTGGGGCAGAGGGTGCTGGCTGCTGTCTATTTACAGCAGGAGAAGGACCGTGCTCCCCACCTTCATTCAGGAGGTGGGCCAATGAGCCAGCGATGAGGACAGTCCATGCACCTCCAACCTTGTGCCTTTCTCTTCCTCTCCAGGTACGAGGTGACCTGCCAAAGCTCAGAGCTGGCCAAGGACATCCTGGTGCCCTCCTTTGACCCCAAGAGCAAGCACTGTGTGTTTCAAGGTGACCTCCTGCTGTTCAGCTGCGCAGGCGCCCACCCCAGGCACCGGAGGATCTGCCCCTGCCGGGACTTCATCAAGGGCCAGGTGGCTCTCTGCAAAGACTGTCTATAGCGGCCACCAGCCAGCCCTGCACACACTCTGCTGGGAGAGCGGCTCCAGCCCCGTCCTGGCAGAGCCTGGGGGCAGGCGTCATTCAGGGACTCTCGCCAGAGCCTGAACTTTTTGGTGGAAGGTATCGATGTGGTATCACTCCTGCTGTGGTCAGCGCATCACAGTGGCATTTTCACCAAAACCAAAGGCGGGCCGGCATCAGGCCAGGAGCCTGGCTGCTCTCCCTGGCACAAGTTTATTTTTTGAGGAGCAACTGCAGGGAGAATCCCTCGATGCACTTGCTCTAGGGTAGAGCATGAATCTCAAGATTCATTTAAAACAGAACAAAACCAGAGGGGGAACTAAGCTGGTTGGCAAGAACTTTTTAGGAACATTCCTAAATCCATTAACTTATTTATTTGGGAGGGGGAGGGTACCAGGGGAGGTCAGAGAGGGGCTGATCACAGGTCTTGTTTCTTTGATTTCTCACTGTTTACCATCCACCTTCACTGTAATGGTTTTCTGGCCCCATCAGGGTGGTACAGGAGGGAGAGGTGGGGAGCGCCGTGAGGACCTAGCTCCTCAAAGCAGATGGTGGCAGAGGAGAAGAAAATCTTGTGTGCGCTTGGTGGTAGCTACAGAACAGGCACCCCCAGATGTGGGGGGACAATCCACATCTGGGAACGAAGTACATGATTAGGAAATTGACATCTGGTGGTTGGTGGTAAATCTCGAAAGGCAGGACCAGGGCCAAAAGAGCTACCCTTGGATGTAGTTGTGATGTTTACCCCTTACAAGCGTTGTCTTTGAGCTGGGAGTGGATGAATGAGCTGGTGGGCTGGTGTCACACTGGAGCTGGGATGCAAACTTTGGGCTTGCGTTACATTCCTTCGAATGCCTGGAACCTCCATAGCCCAGGGAATGGGGCTCTGGGCGAATTTGATGTTGTCTGCGGGAGCAGGGGCAGGCCAGTGTGAAAATGAGTCGCTGTCCTGGTCGCTCACCTGTGGGGTGGGGATGGGGTGGCTCGCAGCCAGGCACCAGTATTCTGAGGTGTGAGCCAGTTGGCAGCTTGGCCTGGTCAGACTCACTGGACCCCCTTCCAGCCCCTGCGCTCTGCTTTGCTGGGTTCCCCGCCTCCCCCAGGCAGTTTCAATGCTTTGGGTATGTTTCCTGGCATCCCCAGGCGCTAAGAGTCAGCCCTCTCTTTCCTCTTCGTCTCCCTGTTATGAGTAGTAGAGGTCCACTCAGCCCTCGGTGGTGGCACGGCCTCCCAGCACCCTGCATGCCCTCCCGCAGCTGCCCAGCCTCGGCTGGCAAAGAGCTGGCAAGATGAATGGTGGATGGGCCTTTGAGAAGTGAGACTAAAGGAGGGACTCTGTTTCAGGAGGACAGAGGGAGTGTGGAGCCTCTACATGTGGGGAGTTAGATTCTGCCTGCTTCTCAGTTCTTCTGTCGTGCATAAATAGCACCACATGCACAGCCAGCCTTTTTCACTTTGACTCTCAATGTGTCTGAATCCCAGCTCCAATCCTAGGGAACAGAGGGTGTCGGAGGGGAAGCACCTACAACCCCTCACGTGACCCCTGAACACATGTGCAAGGGAGAGTGCTGATGGGAGGCCAGGGCCCAGCAGCAAGGACACAAGAAAGGAAACCTTGTAATAGGATGTGAGTGAGTGAATGAGTGAATATGGGGGCAGTTGCCTGCAGTAGGAGGAGAAATAACTGTTAGGAATTGCTGTTCTCTGTGAATGGTCCTCTTGGCTGCAACCTAAATTGTGGAAATTGGCTTAAGCTCCCAGGCCTACAATTCCTGGGCCTGTGCTGCCCTCTCCCGGACCCTTCTGGAACTTCCGATGGTGAGGATGTCAGTGCAGGCATCTGACCAGCAGGGGACGCCTGCGGGCCGAGACCGATTTCCTAAGCTCAGCAACCCATTTTGCAGAGCTGTTTACTAAGCCAGCACAGGGGCTCAGAAAGTGTGGAAACTAGGAAGCTACATTCTGTGGAAAGACTCGATGCCTGCACTGAATTCCAGAAGCTTCTAGGATTGCTTGCTGGCTGCCTAACCTCAGGGCCTCCCCCTCTTCCCACTCTTGTCAGGACTCTCAGCTTAGGTGCCCAGGAGGGCACTTTCCTCATTAGGTCCCTCTGCTTCTGCCAGCCCAGCGTTGGTGGAGGTGAGGCAGTTCCATGGGAGGGAGGGGGGGATAGGGGAAGGGGGGCCTGCTGCTCCTGGGCACACTGATCTGCACCCCAGTTGTTGAAGGCTTTATCGATAGAGGCAGTGATGTTAGACAGATACTGGCCTCCAGCCCCCTCTAAACTTGGCCCAAGTCAGGTCAGTGGTCCACAACCAGTAGGGACGTGATTCCTGCCTGCCTGCCTGCCTGCCGTGGGCAGAGGGCGCCTCAGAGTGTGAGCAGTTTTTCCTAACAGAGTCCTGAGCTTACTTGTGGCTGGAGACCCTTCCACACCGGGACCTGTGCCAGGACCCCTGTCTCCCTGGCTATGAGCACACACTGCCTGGGCTGAAAGTTTTTGTACATTTTTTCCTCAGTGAAATCTGGCGTTTTTCCCCCACTGTGATCTTCAGTTCCTTAAAAAAACAAAGAAGAAAAAAAAAACTTGAGGGAAAACATTTATCTAATTTATTAAGAGAGAGAAAGCCTTCCTTTGACATGTAAACACTTTCAGGAGTAAAAGCTTCTAAAGGAGAAACACTGCTTTTAATGTCAGTGGACACCTCATTTACTCCATGTATGTAATTGGATTTGCACTTAAGGAAAGGTTTTTTTTGCATTTTTGCTTAAGTTGAGTTTCTGTCACTGCGTATAGTTTGCCTTCTTTGTGTTTGCTGTATGTTTGGGAATATTGTGAATCTGTTTGATATTTATTGTTTCTCTGAGGTGCCTTTTCTCTTTTCTTTGGGGTTGCTTTTGGAACCTGCTGCACTCCTCAAGCTTGGAGACAGGACCTGTCCTGTGTCACTATGGACTCTCAGGGCCCAGAAACGCCCTTCCAGCCCCTAGGCCAGCATGTATATGCACATACACCTCCCTGAAGCGGTCAGAACCCCGAGAGAAGGGCTGGCTTCCTCCAGACAAGCCCACACTGTCCCAGGCCGCTTGGTCACTTCTGGGTTTGGGGACTGCTGCCTGCCCTTTGACCCAGGCTCCCTGCCACCTGGCACGTGGTGGGGTGTGGCAGGGCAGGCGCCAGCCCTGGCTGAGGAGTTGCACTGTAAGGAAGCAGGGCCTGCTGAGCTCCTGAGTAGCACTGGCCCCCAAACACATCACGAAGGGGGAGGGATGTGCACACCCTTTTGTTCCGCAGTGAGCATGGGGTTTCATAACTGTGACCACTGGTTTCGTCTGGAAGGAGAGCCCCTGCTTCGCTGGTAGTGCAGGCATGGATATGACAGGTTGATTGAAACTGCTGTTCACGGACGGGTTGTGTTTGTGGGCCGGACCAAGGCAGGCCACCCACTCTCCACGGTGGCTTACCTGGATTGTGTGTGTAATTAGCACATGACCACTCCCTTCCCTGCCCCCAAACTTTTTGGCTTTTTGAAAGTCTATTTTGCTAACGACGGGCTCTGTTGCACGTGTTGCTACCCGAAGCCTAGACTTTTATTTATTTAAAAACACTTTAATTTTCACATTGGCTTCATTCCTCTCCCACCCATCCCCGCGGGCCCACAAGCGGTTCTGTGTGAGGAGCTGACGGGCACAGAGACTCGGCTTCTTTAGGAAGGTGGGATGTCCTAAAGCTGAGGGCCATCCCTCTCATTCCTGTTGGCTTCAACAAGAAGTGGAAAGCCAAGTTTTTATAGCAAAAGGCCAAACTAGCTGTAGTCTCAGATGCAGGAAAAAAAAAATTAGTATCTCTTAGCACTTAGGGGTTTTGTGAGGATTCGGTGTTTAGCGGTGTCTGGCACATAGTAGGCCCTAGGCAGTGTTAAACATTATTACGTTTTACAAAATTTGAGAAATAAAGAGCTGCACTCCTTATCAGTTGGTTCAAAAGTCACACCTACAGGACTCTATTATCCCAGGTTGACGGACTGTTGTGGGATTTACCTGTTAGCGTGTGTAAGTCCCATGCCCACCCTGTGGCTGGAACGATGCCGGATCCCTGACTGCACTGACGGACTGGAAAACATGCCTGGCTTCAGCCCCAGGTGAAACAAGGCACACAGGTGACCTTTGGCTCCCTGCTGGGACTCACCCCAGTGGTGTCTCTTGGACCATTCCAGAGTTTTTCCTTGGGGAACTTTTTGAGCTAGAAATTAAGGTGAATTTTCCCACTGATTGTACCCCTTAAAGTTAACTGTTCCTCTGAAACGAAATTAAGAGAGGCTTTTCCATTTCCAAGGGGAAAAAATCGACCAATTGAACTTGAGAAGTCCCCTGCTCTCCCCTGCCGGCCAGGGTGGCTCCTCTGCAGTCCAGTCCGCAGGGGCCAGACTCCCGGGCAGGTGAACTGTCATGAGTTTGCCCTGGCCCTGGGGCCACAGTCTAGCCCGGGGGACCCCAAGACTATATATGACCAGAGCTGCTGGTGGCTCACTGGTTTTCTCCCCAAGTCACCTAAATATCAGTTCACGTTTTGTTTTATTGGGGTTCTAGCCTCTTGCTCCCCAATAGATTGGAGCCGCGTCTCCTTGCCTATCTAGGCCCTCCTCTGGGCAGATGCATTGTGGAGTGTGGAGGAGTTTGCTGGAGCCCTGTGTCCGAGTTCCTGTTTTCTCTTCAGCTGAATCTGCAGCCCTAGACTTGTGCAGGTGTAAGACTGGGGTTCACCTTCTCCCAAGCATCAAGGCTCCGATTTGTGGATCCTTGAGATGATCTTCCCCAGTCACCTGCAGCTGGTGAGGCCTGGCAGAGGGACCACTGTCAGCGAGTGCTCATGGGACATCGGGTGTGTGTGTGTGGAGGGTGAGGGCTTGGGGTGCACAGAGGACATTAGCCAGGCTGGCAGCCTGGCTGAGACAGCGGCATGAGAACCTAGGTGGTCTGCCCCTTCTGCCCAAGGGAAGACAGCAAAGTTGGGAAGGATTTTGCTCACTGTCCTGCCCAGGTGTTAAGAGGACAGCAGTGGAACAGTCTACGCCAAAGGAGGTGGTGAGTCCCTTCTACTGTAGTCGCTGTCACAACCTCGATGTCTTTAAGCTAATGACCGTTCACATCTGTGTCTTCAAACAGCGCCTGGCTCACTCCGGGGCTTAGTGCAGGGTTCTGCCCACGAGGTATCGCTGTCCACACGTCCCAACGTACTGTACCTGCATAGAGAGCACTGCTTTGTTTCCACTGTTGTAGACACAACTAGGGAGAACTTTATTTTTCAATAAACTTTACTTGTGTGACGGGTAGGAGTGATCTTTGGGGGGTTGGGTGGGTGCAGGGTCACCTGCAGAACACAGCCCAGCTGCACCCCAGCACTGGCGTCCACTGCCTGCGTCTCACCAATTGCAGACGCCGCCGGAAAGACCGAGAGACGGCGACGGTCAAGGAACGGAGGACGGCTTCACGGTGGTGTGTTCCTTCCCCGCCTCACATCCACCCATACTCGTCTCAGAGCACTCCCTACACGGGGCCTTTTTGAGATAATTACTACATCAGATGCTTGAAAATCATGAAGGCTGTGCCAGTGAAATAGTCCTAAAAGGCTGAGGGCCTGTTAGACCTGGTGCATTTCCCTCATAAGCCCAGGTGAGGCACCTGCCCTGGAAACAAGGTCAAGTCCATGCGCACCCAGGGGCAGCTCGGCCTCAGCACAGCTGCTCACGCTCTGCCCAGAGCAGGGACAGCACCCAGCTCCTGGATATGGAGGCGCAGGTACGGCCTGATTCCTGTACACCCGTCCCAGAAAGGTCCGAGCAGAATGTGAGTGTGTACGTTTAAGGGAAGCTACATCCTAGTTTCCCTCCGAGCTCCCACCCTGCGTTACATACACAGGACACCTGCAGGAGAGACACCAAGTCTCCATCCCCAGACCTGTTGGAGCAGTCGGCCCTTTCCCAGGTCCATGTAAATGGCCTGCAGAGCTCTCGGCAAAGCGCTGGAGGAAGCTGGCCGGCGGCACCAGGCTGCCCCAAGGTTGGGGGTCCCCAGACCAAGCCACCTCCCCTTCATCAGCCTGAAGCAGGGCAGGGGAAGGGGAGGGTCTGGGACAGCCATCCCTCAGTCCCAGGCAAGACCAGCTGCAAGGCCTCAGGCACCACCACGTCAGTGTGTAGCCCCCTCACCTGAGCGATGGGTGGCCTCCCCACAGATGCAACCCACAGTCCTCCAGGGTCTCCACTCCACCCGGAGCAAGTGACCCTTCCATGTTGTCTTTCAGCCACACAGCCACCTGCCGCCTGTGACAGGGATACCTCTCCAAGGTCACTTCCCGGACCACACAAAATGGTGCCGTCTCTATTGTCCAGACAGGCATCTGGGCCAGCAGCAAGTGCTACAGTCCAGAGGGGTGTGGGGACTGTGTTCACAGAACTGACACCTAGCGTCACCTAAGCTGCAGCCATCTCGTCCTTACAGCCACCTCACAGGCCACCTGACACAACACAGAGATGCCTGCACGTGTGGGAAGATTGTGTCATTATTTATTACAAATCAACGGTGGTTTCACATCTGTCAAAAATGGGTCGTTTTTACATGTGTGTTCAGGTTCTGAATGTACAAGAGAGGGTCATGTGCTCAGTTCGTCCATGCAAAGCTCACACGTACATCACTAAGTACTTTAAAAATAGAACGGTCTCCTCTTGAACCAATCTGTTTAGACTTAGGATTAGTAAAATGGTATGAAACTAATGAGAGACGGTGACGGGGGTTAGGAAGTGCAACACTGACGGTTCTGGGAATGTGACGGGGTGAGGCGCAGAAGGGTGACACGGTCTTCTCTTCAGTTCTGCCGGAGAGGAGCGCCCAGGGCCGAGCTGCTCAGCCCAGAGGAGGCGGGTCTAGACAGTGGCTGTTTCAGAACTTCCTGCCAAGCAGAGGCCTTATCCGACCCACAGGAACCCTTTTACTCCAGAAAACAGAAACAGCCAGTTCCCAACAGATGGGAAAACCAGTGTCCCCTCCTGTGCACGGTGTCCTGACGGAGTGACGGGGGAGGTGGGCAAGGGAAGCAGTGCAGACCAACCTGCTGGGCACGCCTGTTCCCCTGAACACAAACTCTCCAAATAAGAAAGTGGATGTTCAGCTAAATACTGGCTCCGTCTGCGGTGTGGGAACTCTCGTCCTGATGTCTTCATGCAGATCCAGACTGTCGCTCGGGCCCTTCACTCAAACATCTCGTAGTGGCGCGTCTGCCTCACCCTGGGCACCATGTCGATGAGAAGTCTGCAGAGGACACACACAGGTCACCCAGTACACCCCCATCGCCCTGAGCTTTGAGTGCTTGGGGAAGCAGATAGGAGAGGCAATTAAAACAAACAAACAAAAAAACTAATTCACATACCATAAAATTCAGCTTGTGAAATTACATAATTTGGTGGTGGTTAGTGTATGCTTAGATTGTCCAATCATCACCACCTCCTAATTCTAGAACATTTTCCTCACCCCAAAAAGAAACCCACCAGCATTACTCCTTTTTCCATCCCCAACTCCCCCCAACCACTTATAGATTTTCCATAATTAAGAGAATATTTAATTTATAAAAGTAGACATGTACACTATTATTTTATAACTCACCTAATTGTTTAAAGTGTAAAGTTGAAAGTTTATGTCTGTTTTGTTTGTTCATATAATTTGTTTTTAGATTCCAAATATAAGTGAAGTCATATGATCTTTATCTCACTTATGTCATTTCACATAATACCCTCTAGTTCATCCATGTTGTGGCAAATAGCAAGATTTCATTCTTGTTTTTATGGCGGGGTAATATTCCACTATATATATATATACCACACCTTTATCCACTCATCTATCGAAGGGCGCTTAGGTTGCTTCAATACCTTGGCTATTGTAAATAATGCTGCAATGTCTTTTTTAATTAATGTTTTCAATTTCTTTGGATGAATACCTAGAAGTGGGATTTATGGGTCACATTGTAGTTCTCTTTTTAATTTTTTGAGGAACCTCCATACCATTATCCACAGTGGCTGTAGCAATTTATAATCCCACCGACAGTGCCCAAGGTTTCTCTTTGTCTTCACATCCTTGCTAACACTTGTTTGATTCCTGACGATGGCCATTCTGACAGGTGTGAGGTGGTATCTCATTGTGGTGGTTTTAATTTGTCTTATATGTCTGTTGGCCATCTGTATATCCTCTTTGGAAAAATGTCTATTCAGGTACTCTGCCCACTTTTTAATCAGATTATTAGGATTTTGTTTTGTTTTGTTTTTTGGTGTCAAGTTATATGATTTCCTGATGTAGTTGAGCCCTGTTGGCACATCAGGGGGTGGGATTGACCTTCAGGCTACATGACTAGAGCAGACAAGCTGTTCTGTGGAGGCTAATCACATAGGGGGAGTCATTTTAGTGGGGCTTTGTTGCCAGCTGCTCCCACCCTTTGGATGAGTCATTAGTGGAGCTCTTTGGTGGTGCCCTAATATACTCTAAAACTGGCCCCGGTGTGTTGGTTTTGGGGCTTCTTAGGAGGGGCTCCAGTGTGGCCTTGAGGCCATCTGGTAGGAGCTACAAAGTCTTTGTGGTTTGTTGCCACTTGTGCTGGGCGTGGAGGCACTTGGAAGAGGCTGTGCTGTGAATCAAGGTTGGTTGCCACTAGCTCCAGGCTTGGGACCCTTTGGTGGGCACCACAATGTGTGCTGACACAGGCACTATGTGTACTGGGCTCATGGCCATTAAGTTGAAGTTAGTTCCAAGTCAACACTGCCCATTTGTCAGGGCACAGTGCAAGTTGAGATATATACCCTCTTGTGCCAGGCATGCCAAGGCTAGCTGCTGCTTGTTTGGAACTCTGAGGGATTTGGGGTAAGTCCATAGTAAGCCCCTCCTAAGCCCCTCCCAGCAGGCCACTTGTGCGGAAGATCCACTGGAAGCACCTGGGCTGGAAATTCGAGTTGAGTAGGGTGGGGTCTCAGAGAATTACCAGGATGGGGCAAATGGTGTTAGCCAAGGTGCTGAGAGCTGGGATTTGGCACCCACCTGTGACTGATAGCTGAGCGCAGTAGGGCTCAGCAAAGCAATCTTGTCTGCCAGCACTTCCATCCCTGGTGAGAACTGCCTGACCGCTCCCCCTCCAGCCCTCACCCTGAAGCTAGTCCATTCAGTTTCCCCCTGGATGTCCCTGGCACTTTTCAAGACGCTGACCTTGCACTGAAGCCCAGAGAAATGAGTCCATGAGTGAGCAAATCCATGTGCAGGTTCCTCAAGGTGAACGCTTGAGACTCCAGTAGCCCCATCTCACTCAGATGCCTACTGGTTTTCACAGCAGAGGTCACGAGGAGTCCTCAGCCCAGTACTGGTGTCCATTTGTGACTTAAAGCCTATACCTCTTGTCAAAGCCCTTGCCCCACTTCAGTGCCAGCCACAAGACTATCTGATTCCAATGTGAGCTTTTTCAGTCACCTGACCCCACGTAGGCTCAGGGGCGGGGGGGTTAGGGGGGAGGACTGTTTCCAGGTACAAGGTGTGACCATCAGGGGTGGGAAATGGAGCACTCATGGATGCCAGGAAAGCAAATAGGAAAACAGGCACTTACTTGACCCCGTAGGCAAATATGATAAGGCCGATGAGCACACCTGTGCTGCCATCCAGGTACCAGACCGCCGAGTTGTGCTTGAATACCTCCGCACTCAGAAGAATAGAGAAGCCCATCACGCCTCCCACGAGGGAGTTAAATCCTGGGAAAGAAGCAGAGAGAGTCTGAGGGCACTGGCGAGCGAACTTCCTTAGCCACCAAGAAACTACCCAAGCACCAGCAAACTCCACATCCAGGCCTGCACTGCAGGGAGTGTTGCCCAGAAGCACTCTCACAGGTGACAGCTGCCAACTGAGACCCCTGGGTGGCCTGTCAAGTCTGTTCCAATGTCACCAGAGACCTTGCTAGACAGAGCCATCACCCCCCACAGTCCATCTCCATCCCTCCCAGGCACTCATGTCCTCTTGACAGAGCCTGTGTGTGGTTACTGTTGGTCTGTCTCCCACAAACAAGAATAGCCAGACCCCATGAGGTCAGGACAGCGCCTGGCACACAGGAGACATTCAAGTTCTGGGTGACTCAAATCTGTTGAATGTCTCCTGGGCCCAGTACCCAGTGGGGATCTTATCAGTCTGATTATTATCCCACTTTACTGATGACAGAACTGAAGTGAAGCAGAGTGAGGTTAAATAAATTGACGGATGTAATACAGATTGAGAGGAGCAGGGCAAGCCTATATCCTTTTCTTCCAGAGTCTAAGTCACCTGAGGATTTCCACTCTGGAAAGAAAAATGCACAGTCAAGAAAGAGGTACATAGCTGCAGGAACGGCAATCCAAACATATGTTGATCATCTCCTTTCACATACGTCACACCTCAGGGGCCCCCACAGCTTAGGCATCACACTTGCATTTTTCCTGTGCGGCCACACGGGAAGGGAATAGCTTAGAGGGGCTCCTGAGATTGCCTCAGGGTAATGGCCTGGAGAAGCTCTGGTCTGTGCTGCCTGGTGACCCCCGGCAGCTGGTCTATGCAGGGTCAGCAGCCTCTCCAGCAACAGGCCCTGTCTCATTCCTGGGGCAACTCCACTTGTGTTGCTTTTGCTGACTCAAAAGTGTTAGCTGGGGTTGCACTCACTGGGGGCTGTAGGACTGGGGAGAGGAAGATGTGGGTGTTGAGAAGACTTGAGCAAAGCCTGGGTAAGACGCTGTCTCAGGTCCTAGGTGGAGACTTGGACAATGGGAACAAGATGAACCAGGCTGGGCCCTGCAATGGCATCTCATTGGCTGCTGCAACCCTCTTCTCTTCCCTCAAATCTGTCATCTTCTCCCTTCAGTTCTCAGCTGGTGACTCGGCCCCGTACTTCTGAGAGCACAAATGTTTAGAAACTATACCTCATCTTCCTAACACCAAGCCCACACCCACCATGGCAGCTGCCCCACATCCAGTTACATGCTCACCAAGGGACTCTGTTCTTGAAATTCTTCTCCCTCTTCTGAAACATTCCTACTGGAATAAACCATAGCTTCCCATCACCCACTTCCAACTCCTCCCTGACCCCACGCCACCCATACCACAAGCCCCTTTACAACACGTGCAGAGCTGTTTGCCCAACCGCACCTCAGTCTACTGGCTCTTCATCCCCCGCCCTCGGTTCTCTCCCCCCTGACGCCCTCCCTGAGCTCAGTGACAACTGAGTGCCCTGTGGGTGGTGACTGGCTGACCTCATCCTCCCGGGAAACGTTCCTCCGGCTGCCATGGCTGCTGGCTTTCCCCTTCCCACTCCAGCGCTTCCCTCTCAGTCTCCTCCGCTAGGTCCTCCTCTTCCTCATCTGAACACCCTGCCAGTCCCAGACTCCGCCTCTGCCTACCTTTCCCCCTAGGCCGTCACCTCTAATCTCACAGGTCAATGGCTCCCAACTTTCTCTAGCCTGGCCCATCCCCTCAGCTGCAGAGTCATACAAGCATTTCAAACTGAGCATGTTCAAAGCGAAAACCTCCATTTCCGCTCAAAACGCCTCATCTCCCCTGTGTGTGATGCCACGGTTCACCCAGCTGCCAACACCAAACATCTAGGAGCCCACCCTTAACTCTGTCACAACCCAGACCTAATCACTCCCCAAATCTAATCCATTAAGTAATGCTTACCAACTGCTCCCCCCAAAACCCATTCTCCATCTCTCTACCTCACCAGCCCCACCGCCCAAACCCCCCTCGTCCCTCGCCCTAATTTCTGCCTCCTCACCACCTTCCCTGCTTCCCCTCCTGCCCACATCTCCCTTAACCCGCATCCACCCCCTCACCGCAGCCAGAGTGGCCACGGGAAGTGGACAGCCGCTGGTCCTTTGGATCATCCTGTTCTTTTTTAAACGCCTCTGCGGCCCATGTCTTTTCTCCGCAGGCCGCCAGCGGCATCGGCACAGCCAGCGCCATCACCAGTGGCCTGGGCTGCAGCTTACCTCCGGAGCAGGGAGTGGAGGTGTTGCTTTGGGGTGGCTAGACAGAAGGGGAGACAGGAGGAGACGGCCGCTGCCGGGGGCAGGCTGGAACCTCCAGCCCCTCTCCACCTCTGGGTCATGGGCACCGTTGGCCTGTGGTGCCCTCAGAGAAGCCCAGTGCAGCTCAGAAAGCAGAGAGAGCGTGAGGTTCCCCCAGACGGCCACTAGATGTCCACTCAGCTCCACCAAGTCACCGCTCTGCCAGCCGAGGACAGCCCAGACCCCCGTGTCTGACAGCAGGGCCTCCCCCATTCGTGCTCCTACCCACGGGGGCTGCCAACAGTGCACGGTGATGGATTCACTGTTCACCTGGCTCACCCCACCTCCTCAGCTCTGCTCACCTGTCTGGCTCAGTTCACCCTCACCTCCCACAGGGCTGCAGGGCACGCTGCAATGGGCACCCAGGCCGGGGAGGGTCTGTGTCTGCCCCCACCAGGCTCAGACACTCCAGGCAGCCACTTCACACAAGGAGCCGAGCTCACAGCCCCGCCCCAAACTGCCCACCTTCCACAGCTGGCACCATCCCCGCCCACCCAGCCCGTCTCTTTCCTGCTTCCTCAGTTAAAACCAGAGCTGTTGTCAAACACTGTTGTCTGTTTAAGAAGCTGAGGAGGGGCTCTGCCAGTCCGGCCTGAATGATAAGTGAGAATCTGCATAATTAAATACACCAGCTTCATGCAGAAATTCTGACTACAAGGTTCCATGTGCTGAACACCATGGCAGGTGCTTGGTATGCAGAGAAGGAGCGAGGGGAGTGAGCTCAGGGTTTCCAGCGGCAGCAGGGAGCCGGGTTCCTGCCCCTTCAGACCCCCTCCTTCCCCGCCTGACCTGACCTGTTTACTTACTGTCCTCAGTCATTTTACCTTCGACAGCGCAGAGCTGCCCCAGCGTCTGCCGATAGCAACAATCACATTTGCCTAAACAACTAAAGGAGCACAGTCTAATGGACAAGATTCGCTGCACTGCGCCTCACAGTCTGCAGTTTACCACACCCCGGTGCCCCTTCTCTGAAGACCTGCTTTGGTGAGGACACAGCCCAGCATAAGGGACCCGGTGCAGCCGGCCTGACCCGCTCACAGACAGCTCCAGCGTGGGGACAGCCACTCGCCAGGTGGCAAGGAGGCCGCCCTCCCGCTGCCCCGAAGCGCTTTGTGGGGAGAGAAGGCCACGCCACCAGAGGACACTCCCAGGGCAGCGGGCACATGGGGTGCCCCTCAGACACCCCAACATTAATGATAGGCACGGCTCCCAGACCCCCCTCTCCACCTTCCAAAGGGGAGATGAGGACAGTGGCTGCCTAGCTCTGCTAATCAACACGTGAGTAAAACACAATTAGCAGGAGGCTGCAATTACCGCTGCGTATTTTGCTGACACTCCCACTAAGCAAGGAACTGCAGTGCACACCACCCACCGCCCAGGCCCCTCATGGGGAACAGGCTTTGCCCTTCTAGAGAGTTCTCTCTGAGTCTGTCTGTCTGGTCCATTCATCCCCGAGCCCTATCCATTTGACAAGTGTTGTGGACACTTCTTCAAATCCCCCCACTTCCTCAGCCCCCCACCCTCACCGCTGCCCAAGCCCCCAGCCCACCACCCTCAGCTCCCCACATCTCTCCTGCTCTGTCCCCCCTCTGACGGCCAGAGGACTGTTTAGAAAACAGTAAGCATGTCTCCTCATCTGTTTAAATAGTTAGCAAAACACACAGGATCCTGCCCTTGGACCTACAGTCCTAGGACCCGCCCTTCCCGCTGTCCCAGCCCTCACCCTGTGCCCCCCTCTGAGGCCCCCCAGGTGTCCCAGGCCCCGCCCCATGCCCTCTGCCCGGGGAGCGCTCTTCCCTGCCTTCACTTAGACATCTGCTTTGTAATGACACCTCTCTGTTCAAGAACACGAGGGAAATGCTGCTTATGTCTGAAGACTCTGGTCAGAGTTATTTCCTCAGCAAAACCACACTTGTCATTGGGGTCTTCTCTGTGCGCCCTGTGGAATGTGGTGAGCTGAAAGAGGGGTGAAGCCTAATCAGAACCTGCCTGGGATTGCTGTCACACATGATGCAGAGCACCCGTCCGAGACGGTCAAGCCCACGGTCATGGGTGGGAGGGTCTGACTGCTGGGTCCACCTCAGGCCCCTGGAGAGCACTCGTGTGATGGACAGATAAGATGCTGAGGCCCTCAGGCCACAGGGGCTTTGTGATGTTAGGGCCCAAGGTGACCGGGAGAGGACTCTGTTTCTCAGTGATCACCCCTGGCCTGCCCGCCCCACCCAGTCACCCACGTTCCAGGCAAAGACATGAGAAGGAGGTGCACACACACACACACACACACACACACACACACTGGAGAAGCCAAGGTGCAGCCAGGCCTCTGCTGTAAAGAGCCCGGGGGAGTGTCCCCCAGAGCAGCGGGGAGGAACCTTGAAGGTAGTCGGACCCCCACACCGAACCCCATTCACAGCACGCGGCCCCGAGCTCTCGGCACTGGGAAGAGGAGGACTCCATGGCCAACGGAGGCATGTTCCTTCCCCGATCCTGAAACTCCAGACCACACAGCCACAGGGATGAGCACCTCTTCCTACACGCCCCCCCTTCCCCCGAGGCAAGAGACCTCATTAGGGTCCGCTGGGTGCAGGCTGCCAGAGGCCGCACTGTGGGTGAGGCAGAGACCTCCGCAGAGGTCTTCTCAGAAGGCTTCATCTTCTCAGGGGCTGAGCCTCAGCTCTTCACACCAGAGGACTTTATTTAACTAAGCTGCAGCCCCGCTTTGGGGACCAGGCAGGGCCCTCAGAGCAATAGGACAGACTCTGAAAGCGGAACTCTGGTTCTGCATCAGGAGTGGCTTGAAGCTAACGTGGCATCAGCCCAGCACCAGGCTCAAAAGCGCTCTGCAGAGCCCGCAGTCGGTGCCTCTGCGGTACCAGCGCTAACAGCAGCACTCAGGACCTGCTGCCTGCTGGGTCCTGGCTTCCCTGGGCCTGCCCCTCGGGCGGGGGCGGGGGGAACCCCTGGGGGCCCCTGGGGAGCTCCAGGAGCCGGGCTGGCCGCCTGGCCCACGCAGCGGGGCCTGCATGCCGCCTGAGAGCAGAGCAGGGGCGCAGAGGCCTCGCTCCCGGACTCCGGTCCTTTCACTATTTTAACAGCTCTCACCACTCACACTGTCTGGGTGTGCTGTGGGCATGTGGCCTCTGTAGCACAGGGAGGAAGGTGGCATCTTGGGAGGGCAGACACAGATGGCAGGCCCTGCTGGTCAAAACAGCAGGGGGACCCTGCCAGGCCCACCTTCCCTGGTGTGGAGTGTGTGCTGGCTGGTGTGAAGGCAGCACTGACCTGTGCTCATCACACGGACAGGACCCACCTCAGGCCCGGAAACCTGCATCTCACCAACACCATAAGCAATCCTGATGCTGCCAGTGGCTGTGGTCACCTGACTGGCATCCTGGGTGCCCTGGCCTTGCAGTCAGCACGTCAGATCATGTAAGCCCCAATTTCCTCGGGTCTGTTCAAAGGGACCACACATGCACATGCATAGACACACACACACACACACACACACACACACACACAGATGCTCTTCCCAGGGCAGCTGTCATTGCAAAGCTGGAAATACCACTTAGACTTCCTGCCCACCAGCCCTGCTGTGCAGAGGCCCAGCTCCACACACAGTAGGGCATCAGCACGGGACCAGGAGTCGAAGTCCGCACAGTGTGCCAGGCTTTGTCATTTGGGAGAGAAGGGCTCTCTGCACTGCCATTCACCTCCTGCTCAGCAGAGCCAACAGCCACTCACCACACCCGCCTGCTCTCCAGTATTCCACAGAGGAGATATGGTGTGTGTGTGTGTGTGTGTGTGTGTGTGTGTGTGAGTGTGGTTCTTAAAAAAAGAATTTCAGTGATTTCTTCTCTATTTTTGGCAGACACACACACCAATCCACAAGCTTTTACCCTTTGACCTCTCACGCCAGGGTACAGGGGCTCATGTATTCCTGACCCCCTGGCAACAACTGCACGTGCTCCAGAATGGAGAAAGAACATGGCCAGGTGGTTAGTTTGTCAAGTTTCCTGTTCACACACCAGCACTAGCTCACAACCTGAAATGCATTTTTCCTGGTTTCACACACCCTTCTCTATCATCCCAAAGGCCGTGCAGGAAGTGCCCCTGGCCCTGGGGACACAGGGACTCCACCTGGTCTGGGTTCTCAATGACCACTTCCCCAGCACAGCCCTGGCTCCTGCACCTTAAACTCCCAGCCAGGTGAGCGCCTCAGGCTGGAGAGGGGTGAGCATGAGAATCCACCAAGAAAACCTTTCTCGATTGCAGAGGGGACCCTCAGTTTCAGTTTGGAGCCATGGACACAAAGCCAGGACTCTGGGAACCCTTTGTGCTTCATGATAAGACACTAGAGAGCCCCCATCCACCTTGTTGGGGGGTCAGGGTGGAGGTATTCCTGAAGAATGTATTACAGTCCCAGGGCACAAGCCATCTGCCCCAATATGGGGCCCTGAGAAGCATTAAACCGCCTGAGGAGGCGAGGCTAGTGAGACCTGATTCCCACCTGGGGGCCTTTTCTGCAAGACAAGCAGCTCAAGGCGACCCTCCCTGTGCCCTCAGCCCGGGAGGTCAGGCGCTGACCCTACTCACCGTCGGTAATGAGCGCTCTGCTGGTCAGCACCTTCCCCAGCATGAACTTCAGCACGGCCAGCGTGCTGCAGAGGATCCCGCTCAAAATGGAGACGCTGAACAGGAAGTCATCCTGGAAGAGAAAGGCCCAGGTCTCAGCAGTTCACCGGCTAGACTAGAGCAGATCATCTGCAAACCCTAAAGATCAGCGTTGTTCCCAGAACAAATCATCAGTTGGGTGAGCTGCAACCAGGAGGGGGCTGCGTTGCTTGTTTTCATACCGTCCTTACCTGTGTCCCTGGGAACTGAAAAGATGATCCAAAACAGATGCCCGCACTTATATTTCCTTAGGAACCACCGGGTACTTCTTTTCCTACAGGAGATTCCCTTTTGCACTATTCTGCCCAAATGATTGGCAATCGTTGATCGGTAATAGGGTTGGTTAGAATATTAAAATCAAAGCCTTCCGTTAGAGTTTTTCACAGAGAATTTTAAAAGCAGTAGTTAAGGATTTTGGAACATGAAAGTATACCAGTGGCCTAAAAACACGTCAGCACAGAGCCAATTAAATTAGCCACAGGGCTGAGAATCAGTGCAACTACTTACAACCCTATTCCTCACTTAAATTCACACAAGACAATTAGAAGTTCAACTACAGCCTTCAAGATGGGAAAGGGCATCTAAAAATACAGTCTGCTACCGACGCAACCTTAGCGCTTCCCATAAGCTGTTACTTTGCCTTCGCAAGCAAGCGAGCGAGGGAGTCACGTGCAAAAGAGAGCACCAGGTCTCATGACCTCAGGCCCGAGGCTCCGGCTTCAGGCTCCGTGCTCCCTCCCAGGAGACACAGCCTCCGGATTCTCCGATATTAAAATGCAGCTGCCAGCAGAAATCTAATAGAGCATCACATATATGCAAGGGAATTGGATTTCTTAAGCATTTTTTTATTCAAATTCACTAACCTGGTGACAGAAAGTTGGGAAGAGGGATGACAGCCTGCTTCCCTGAGTTCAAGACTGAACAAAGTCATTAGAAAAATCACCTCCTAGAAATAGGATATCTGCACAGCGCCAAAGCAGCCCCCCATCCTGGTCAATGGTGGTTGGTGGGTTTTTGAAAAGTATATTTTTATTGACTTGAGAGAGAAAGGGGGAAGGAGGAGGGGGAGAGAAGGAGACAGAGAAAGGGAGGGATGAAGAGAGGGAAGGAGGGAAGAGGGAGGGAGGGAGGAAGGAGGAAGGACGGGAGGGAGGGGTGAGAGGGAGGGGGAGAGGAGAGAGAGAGAGAGAGAGAGAGAGAGAGAGAGAGAGAGAGAGAGAGAGAGAGAGAGAGAGAGAGAGAGAGAGAGAGAGAGAGAGAGAGAGAGAGAGAGATGAGAGGGAAATATGGATCAGCTGCCTCTTGCACACATCCCTACAGGTATGTAGCCCAACCAGGAATCAAACCAGCAACCCTTCAGTGCACAGGACAACGTACAACTAAGTGAGCCACCCTGGCCAGGGCAATGGTGGTTGGCTTTAATGTACGTCCACAGTCTTTTGCAACCCCTTCCTCTGGGAGGCACAAGTTAACTCCCCTCCCCTGGGTGTGGGCTGCACTCGTGACTGGCATCTAGCCAACAGGGCATGGAAAGGAACTTCACAGCGGAGAACCCAGCTAGTGATCCAGCTTAAAAGGACCATTCACAAATTATGCTGGCGCCACGTGCCTCCTGATTTGATGTGGAGAGAACATCTCTTCATGTTCTACCTAAAAAACCCAGAACCTCAGCTTCATTGTGAAAAAACATTAAACAGACCCATGTCCAGGGACAGTCTACAGAATATCTGAGTGCTACTGCTGACTCATGCCCAGGTCATGGAAGACACGGACTGAGAAAACTGTCACAGACGGAGACCAAGGCCATGCGAGGACCAGGCGACCTGGTGTCCTGGGCCGGGTCCTGGGAAGGAGAAGCTCATTAAGTGGGAAAGCTAGGTACAGACAGTCGGGGGCTTTGCTAACAGGGTGACAGCCTCCTGATGGGTAAAGGTCCCTGGCTGACTGTGTGAGAGGTTACACATTAGGGGTGGCTGGATGGAGGGTATATGGGAACTCTGAAATGTCTAGTAACTTTTATAAATCTCAAATTATTTCAGATTTTAAAGTTTTTTAAATGGTCATCTTTCTAAAGTTGCATCTCCTCAAATTATCAGTAAGGTCTGTGCGAAGCCCGGCCCCCTGGCAGAGCCCAAGTCCCTGCTGTGCATGAGGTTACAGAGCGGGGCCACGCGGGAGGACCCCAATCACACGCCCTTTGTGCGGGCACTGGCAGACTCAGGGGAACCACTGCGCAGTCGCAGGAAGCAGGACGGGCATTGCTAGGGAGTCACAAATCCTCTCAGACCCAGGTGTCATGTGACTCAGGAAGCGTAAGTTGGGAGACTGAGGCATTCAACTAAGCACTCGAGGCCCCAGATTCTGGCTCCGTTCACTCACTCAGTTTACAAAACCCTCATCGCTCAACGTCCAGAGGTGGCTACAGTCTACATTCACCCCGTCTGGTCACTGGGGTGATCCCCGCCCCAACGCAGCTCAGAGCCCCCGAGGCTCCGGCCGTCCTCTCCTGGGTCTGCTAACAGGAAGCCACGCTGTCTGGGGGCCGGTGACCAAGGGCAGTGGTGAGCCAGCAGGCCTCTGTTCAAGTCTACAACCCAGCACTCGCCACCCAAGCTCTCCAATCCTAATTCTCTTTCTTATAAATGGCGGTATGATACCACAGCCCCGACAAGAGCTGATGTGCAACAGGTAGCAATTGTCATCAAGGGCCCAAAACACCAGGCACTAACTTCCTCCAGCAAACAGCCCACTAGGTGCTGACAGTCAGCCCTGGACAGGTAGGTGAGCGTTCCTACAGGAGAAACACAGGGAACTCACTAGGGAGGGAAAAGCAGGCCTGGGGAATGTAAGCAAAGGGCAGAGGGTGCAGCTGGGATCCGAGTGGCTGATCAGGAGAGAAGGGGTGTGGGACCGTCCTTCCACAGCAGCTTCATCTTCCAGAAGCTCTCAGGGCCCAGAGCTCTGAGGGCCCTTCCTGGGGGAACAGGGGCAGGTTACTGGCATCAGAGCAGAAGCACCGGGTCACAGCTAAAGGCGCTGGAGCTCAGCCTCCTGAACATGTGTGTTCAGGGCACGTCCTGAGTCCCCCTCTCCTCCTCCACGTCCACCTCTGTCCCATGGAGCAAAGAGCAGGCCTCCCACCCCTGGTGGCTGTGTACTGTGTCCCCAGCAATCAGCAGGAACTACGTTTCCCAGAATTCCCATCCTCTGTGGCTCTGAGTCCCCCAGAAACATCTGTGTGGAAGGCGGAAGTGAAGTGTTGGCCCCAGCCCCTGGGGGCGGGTGCAAGGCAGGTGCTGCTGCAGCTACACGTGTGCTGCTAATCCGCTGGCTCCGCTAGAGGGAGGGCGGCTGCCAGCCCAGCACCCCCGGACCCTGCTGGGCCCCTCCAGGTCTCTGTGCCCTGAGCCACCCACGGCGTCAAAGTTGAGACAATGAGGTCAGATGGGGCTCTAGTCCATCTTCAGAGAACCATGTTGCCATTGCTCTGCTCCCCTCATTATCCACATTTCCTTGCTTCCAGGCAGCCCTGCTGCCTTCAGGCCCAGATTCTGGGGTGGCAGCCAACAGGGGCCCTTCTGCAGCCCCCCTCTCTGTAAGGTTCCTCCCTGCAGCCACATCCTGTGTGGTTCCCCTGAGAGATACAGCCTCTCTGCCTGAGCCTGACACCCCTCTGCCTAAGAATGTTGCAAAGTGCTAAGCACAATCTAACTCGAAGGAAATGCCGTGTATAAACGGAGGAGCCAACATGCAAAAGCCAGGTGTGTCTGTCTGTGGGTTATTTGTCACCCTCACTCTGTGCCTCACCCACAGGCTGGCTGGCTCACTATTGCTGCCTTGATAGGTTTCTGAAACACATGAGCCCGGAGGGACCCCAGAGGATCCGGGCTGGCCCAGAGCTGCCCAAGTCCTCCCTCAAAACCAGCTTTCAAGTCCTCAAGTGCACGGTGCCTGTCCCACCAGAGCCCACCGCTCTCCTCTCTCCACACCGACACCCATCACCGTCAGCATGAGCAGAGTGTCACCGAGAGGCAGGCACTAGCCTGCTCAAGACATCTGCCAGGGCTGTTAGTATCCCGCAAAATGCAGATGCTGAGGCTCTAACCCCCAATGAGATGAAGCCGTTGGGAGGTATTAGGGTTAGAGGAAGGCATGAGGGTGAGGCCCTGGTGATGGGATTAGTGGCCTCCTAAGAGAGGAAGTGATCTCTCTCTCAGCCACTCCCACTCCCATTGAGGAAAGGCCAGCTGAACCACAGTGAGAAGGCGGCCACCTCACTGAGATGTGAGCAACACCTCCTGTGGCTTAAGCCACTCCGTCTCTGGCATTTGGTACGGCAGCTCAAGCTGAGAGTCCCCGGGCGTGATAAAAGACAGTGTTTCTGAGAGGATCCTCTCTGAGAGTCAGGGAGCCAGGACATGCATGGCTGAGGATGAGAAACTGCAGCCCGAGGGGGAGGAGGCCCCTGGCTTCCTTCAGAGTGCGGCCTCGCTGCCTCACGTCCTCTCACAGCCACTCAGCCAGCACCGGACGGTACAGAGACAGGTGCCCCGGGCCACTCAGCTGTGTCAGGCCTGGATGTGTGCCCGGCTGTAAATGTACCAGGATATCTCACCCATGACCTTATAACCATCTCTCCTGCCACATGGACTCTGCAAACAGAGGGACAGCCACTCTGCCTTGTTAGGTTTCCACTGTTTCCAGCACTGCCTTGTGATTTCTCAGATTTGCATCTCATTGAATGGTTAGAAGATCAGGGCAAAAAGATGTAAGAAAACTGGCCAACCCAGGCAGGTGTCCTTTACTAAAAAAGTTAAGGGAGCATGTGGGTTAAAGGTAAATGCTCCGTAGATGGTGTTTATGCTGTGAGCTTCTCCATGACCTTCTAGAAGTTAGAAACAAGTTATCCCCTCTGAACTAGGATAAAACAGTAAGTGGCCAGAAAGTGTTCTAGACAATGCAGGCCAGGAGCAGATGGAGATTATAATCTGACAAATGGTTAAAAAAATAGTAGTTAAACAAAGTCATGGGACC